CTCTCTCTCTCTCTCTCTCTCTCTCTCTCTCTCTCATATATATATATATATACATACATATTGTATATGTATATACACATATATATACACACACACATATGTATGGGTTTCTTTAGGTATACTTTAATTTGTTTGTTGATTTACATGTTCAATAAATACAATATTTCTAAAAATATATATAAAACATATGCTTTTTATTTTAAATGAAGAGTTAGCAAAGTAGCTCCAAATGTCAAAGGGCAAACATTGAATTTTCCATTTTAAAACCAAAAAGTGTTCACATATCCACATTTATAGTGAGCCAACTGACCTAGCTGCTTTTTTATGTTTGTTAGAATATTAAATGTTTACAAGCTGAAGAATACAGAGTCTTCGTCTAAATGATCTTTATGCATGTTTAGGACATATAGAAAACAATAGAAACTATAAGAGCACCCAAATGAGACTATGAAACAATAATGCTTGAATTCTGGATTATTACACAATGAAAATCTTCTTAAACCATACAAGGACACATGTGGGGCATCAAAATGTAGTCCTCATTTATGCAAGAGAGGCAGCGTGAGCGATAAAAGTGTCTGGCCCTGAATGCCAATGCTGCTGTAACAAAAGCCTTTCATAGATCCTTGAGTAGAGAAGATAAATAAGGATTGTTATTGTGAACAGCCGCGATAAGAGGAGCGTATAAAAGGGCTGTGAGAGAACTGAACATTACAATTTTTTTCTTACATTTATTATCGGAGACGAGCACTGCTCTAGTGGTTGTCAGGCCTCACTGGGATGAGATAAGTTAGAAAACACCTTGTGCATTCTTAGGCCTGACAACACTTCACAATAAATTATATCCCATCAAGTTCAGAATCGTTTCAGAGCTTTCAGGTGAACTGGATATGGTGGCAGGAGTATTAAGAATGATATAGTTTTGTTTTTACCTCAGACACAATCCTAGATACCCTATAAAATGGTAAGGACAGTGAAAGGACTGGGTTTGAAATGTGCAAAATGCAAATTTACATTGTTTAAAATATTTTTAAGAAGCCCCCAGGTTGAGTCAGGACATGACAGAGGGATTATATCTCCATGTTGGCCAAGAACTCCTTGGTATCCCACTGGCAGAGGTTGCTGCTTCTCCTGTGACCTGGCCTGGTATTAGCAGAAGAAAACAGAAGGATGGATGCCAGATTGTGCAACCAGCTATCAGACCATAAAAAGTTTGGTTCCGCTGCCCAAACTGGCATGGAACGGGAAGGGTGGGCTCGGTAATCTTCCTTTCCTGATTGTAAAACCAATTCAGACAACTGACCCAGACTGCACCAGTCACAGGATGTTTTTGGTCCCCTTCTGCTGTAGGTCCAGGAAGTTGTGGAGAGGTATGGTTAAGGCAGAGAGACAGCACAGTCCACATTTAAAAATGTCACTACTTGCAACGAGCAAAACAAACCTTGGGGTACCGTTATTTGTATTTTCTTCAGTGGTACATGAATGTGATAAAAGGCCAGCAAGTAGCAGCAAGTTTTGGTCAGCTTTAGAGCTCCAACCATTCCTCACCATCATTGTGACAGTCCACACTCAGGAGCTAGGCAGATCGGTAAGAAATGCAAGAAGATTAAACAGGTTTCTGAGCGGATAGGACCTGAAGGATCTGAAAGGACGTCGGAACGTGTTGGGATAAGCTGAAGAAATAAAAGCCCAATAAGAGAAAGTTAAGGAAGGAAACAGCTGGAGTGGAAATGGAAGAAATACAGAGGTGGTATGACCTACTGGATGCAATTTATAGCCACAGACCCGCAATATGAGGCAGGCCTGGACTCAGCGAACGCTCTCTAGAGTCACTTGTGGAGCCTGTTGGTAAGCATTTCTCTTTGTCTTTAGCTCTGCAGACCATTTATTGCAGCACAAAAGGCTTCAAATGCTGTCTGCTACCTATTCATACTCGTCTTCTGTACTCGACACAACATCACGTTATCGGCCATGTTACCATTACCTGCCATTTTTTATAGCTGAAAGTTTTATTCTAGTTTTTTTATTATATTTTATTCTATTTTTAATCTTATTATTCATGTTATATGTAGCACATTAGTACCGAAGCAAGTTCCTAGTTTGTGAATTGTTTGTTCACTGACAATGGCAATAAACCTATTCTGATTCTGATTCTGATCCATAAAGCAGTATGGCTGGGTTCAGTCCTGGAGCCCTTGGGTGATGAGCTCAGATATTTGGGAGGAACTCTGAGCAGAGAAACTTCTCCTCTGAGTAACCAGTTGATGTAGTCTAGACATGTTGGTCAGGATGTCCACTGGACATCTCTGCAGGGGGTTGCTTTGGGCAAGAGGATACCCCAGGACCAACCTAGGACACACTGGAAGGATTTTATTTCCAGGATCCCAGCCTTGAGTTCCCACAGGAGAGCTGGCGTTGCCTGATGATGAGAGGACAGTCTGGGCTTCTCTTCTCTGGCTGCATCTGTGACTCTGACCCAGATAAGTAGAAGACAAAATGAGACAAGAAAATGTTTATGTTAACAATGGTAACCCATGTCTGATGAAAATGGCAAGGCTTGTCTAGGGAATAAGCCAGTGCTTTTGGTTTTTGAACCATGCGCCTGTTGTCAACTACTTGCTTATTTTTGGATAAAAAATAAGTTAAAAATAAATGGGCCCTGTTTTATTTTGCTACAATTTCTATGGATTTCCACCCAGAAATTCCAGAAACCAGCAGTGTACTCCTGTAAACAGCTCCTTGTTCTATTTCCAGGCTTAATAAGAACCCAGAGGAAGACTTTTCTGGGAGACTTAAAACAAAAATGGCATCCATCAGTGAGAAGTGGTCATTATTGGACCTCAGAACACATTATCATGAGATTTCTTTTTGTGCCCATCAATTCACATTCATTAGTTGTGTTGTGCATTCACCAATCCCCAATGTGCTTGGAACCAAAGCTTGTTTCACTGTTCTGTTGTTGGGTTTCTTCAAAGCCATCCTAAAGCACCCCCATGACTTTGTTTTAATGCCTCCAAAGACAAAGTTTATGACCAAAAACTGAAGTTCAAATGGTCTAAATAAACATCCTCAGACTTGTAAAAAGTACCACAAACTTTCCAAACTCAGCGTTTCAGCGCAGACATGACCTGCAACAATATCTCATTGTCTTTAACTAGAAGGAAAATTGAAATTAAATTAAAAAAAGGCTTTAAACTAGAATTTGCTCAAATAATTCTGTTTAATTTAAATTAAAATGTTTTTGTCGTCTGCTACTGTTCCACACCCTGGTTAAGGGGCAAATGCCGGAGGTCCCCAGCCCTCCCTCCCCAGCTTTTTGGAGGGACTTTGGGGCACACCGGGCCACCAGTGAGTTCGGATGAACAAGATCTGGAAAAATTTGAACTTCTCCTGGAACAGTAGATCTTCCCCACCTTGGAGTGGGTGTTCTCATTTTCCAGTTAAGGACCATACTTCCAGCTATGAGGTGCTGAGCTTCAACCCAGCAGTTTCACATTCAGCTGGAAAACACTGCTGCTGCAGGCCCACATCATCTGCAATGAGTAGTGATTAAAAACCTTAAGTCCTTTAAACTACAGAGCTTTCATCCCCTGGTTAGATTCTGAACACTGTTTCCAACTAAACCTGATGAAACCAAACACCTACTTGAAACACGTCTGACTCGTTAGTGATGATGCAGCAGTGACGGACTAATATCTTCTGGGAGGAGATTGATCAGTGGTCTGGCTGGCAGTCGTTCTCTGAAACCCAGACAGCCTGTTGTTGCAATTGCACCCACTGGACATATCGAGGACTGAGAGTTGCTTTTTTTTCTTGTTTTTAAACCAGGAACCAGTAATTAGGGGCAGCAGTAGCTCAGGAGGTACAGCGGGTTGTCCAGTAAATGGTAGGTTGTGGGTTCAATCCCGGCTCCTGCCAGAGAATGCTGCTTTTGCGTCCTTGGGCAAGACACTGCTGGTGGTGGTCGGAGGGACTGGCGACAGCTGTGCTCGGCAGCCTCACCTGTCAGTTTGCCCCAGGGCAGCTGTGGCTGCAATGTAGCTCATCACCACCAGTGTGTGAATGTGTGTGAATGGATGAATGATATGCTGCAGTGCAGGGGTGGGCAATCCTGGTCCTCGAAGGCCACTATCCCACATGTTTTACTGTTTTCCCTGTTTCAACACACCTGATTTAAATCAGCAGGAGATTAGCTGGCTTCTGCAGCTTGATGAGCTGCTGAATCAACTGTGTTGAAACTGGGAAATAAAAAGATGTAGGATACCGGCCCTCGAGGACTGGAGTTGCCCACCCCTGCTGTAGTGTATAGCGCTTCGACTGTGAAAGGCACTATACAAGTGTGGGATTTGGACTCCAGTGACCCAAGTATTGATCAGACACGAGTCAGTCTGCAGAGCTTCACTTAGGAATGCTGGAAAACATTTAACAGGTAAGATTTTCTTACCGTTTTGTGCCCTATTTCTACAGACTAATGGGTAGTCTAACACGCATTCACATCATACTCTGGTTTTGATAGTCTACTGAATTTTCTAACGTTGTTAATTGGTTTTAGACCAATGTTTTTATCCCCAACTTCATTTTAGCCATCCATGCTGAGCCAAGGACACTCATTTGATGGATTTTGCCATTTGAGTATCTGCAGATAGTTCACTTTACTCAGCATTCCTTCAATTTGAAGTAAGTTTAGGTGTTTAAATTCAAAAGCTATTCTTTAAAGCTGTTAACAAACTTAGGAAATGCCACCAAAAAATAATGTCTATACATGCAACGTGTCATCTAAATAATGATCAACTTCCTGCTCTTGCTACTGTATATGGTTTGTGTGGGAGCAAACTGCTGTAGTACACCTAGACTACCAGCAGATGGACTGATGCACATGCTATGGTTTAGGTGGCATGAACAGAGCATCTTATTAAACTACTATCAACTATCGTGTTAATCAAGACTTCAATATAATTCATGTTACATACACACAAAGTACAGAGGAACTAAAAACAATATTTTTTGGGATCTTTGTAATATTTTATTGAACTAAGCACCAGCTTAATACAACTGAAATCCAAACAAGTGAAGACATATATTTGAACTTAAACAGTATAAAATCTTGAGAGAAAAGCAGATTATTTCTCTCTTATATCCATCCACCAGGAGAACAAAAATAATCTGGGCTGCTCCAGCTTCACTGTCCAGGAGCAGACAGGCTTTTGTTCATGAACTGCTTCTTGACAAAGCACAGCCACCACTGGAAGAAAAATAAAATAAAATAGAAAAATGTTGTTAGAACACGTTATGAGTGGCACTCAGGCCAAGTCACAACACAAAGGATCTTGGGAACATGTTTTCTAGATAAAGCTGATTCAGTGATTACATCTAAGAGCATCACTGACATTGCAGGAAAATGTCAGAATATACAAGCAAACACAAAAACATGTAGATTTGAGAAAACATGAATATTTACGTAGATAATGTTTGCTCATGATACTTTTATTTTGAAGACTAACCTTGCTGGGTTTGTCTGTCTGGGGGTCAAACACACGCTCACATAGCCTTAAGCCGGTCTCCTGACGGAGCTGCTGCAGATACGCCCTCATGGTCTCTGGAGAAAGGAAAGATTAGAAAAAATATCACACAAGTTTAAAAACTACTGCTTAACCTGCTCAACTTTTATGAGAACCGACAACACCAGAACATTCTGTAATCGATGTGCCGAAGCTTAAATTGATGCTTGTGCAGATGCATGGAGCCTTTCCTACACCAACCCTTCACACACACACGTTTGAACCACTGTGTTGGATTCTGTTTACCACCTGGCACAGGCCTGTGGCATGGATGATCATGATTTATGGCTAGCAATCAGGATCTGTTTGGTGAGGGGTGAGATGAGGTTGGGCGACTGAATGAATGTTTCGGCCATGGACGATAGCCCAGGCTATTTTTTATGCCTATGAATTAGTCTCACTCTCACAGATGGGATTTTTCTTACTTCCAGGTCAAATCAGCGTCTTTATGGCAAAACGATCCATGTAAACACCTTATAATTCATTAAAAGCTAGGATCCATGTGTTTTCAAAGACATGACCTATGTCAGTTGAGGATACAACCATAACTGTAGACTCAGTAAACACTCAGAAATTCAAAATAAAGTCCAAAAGCCTCATTTCATGGACTAAAACAGTCTCTTCAAATCCACAACGGCCCAAGAAAAGTGCTCTAATAAGATAGTCATCAGGTCTTACAGGACAATCCAACATAATCGAGCTGAAATCATTCTAATTGTAATTCAGGTGCATCTTTCTCAAAGCATCGCATCTTCAGAATGGCCTGAAACATTTAATCTCCATCGTATCTGACCCAGCAGGTGAAGGGTTACAACCTCTGCTGAGGCAAACTTTTCAACTATTCACTGATGGATCAAAAGTGCCACCCCCTATTGTCAAGTGTGCAGCTCGGACAAACTGCAGTGCAGTATAATGTTGACTGATGCATTAAATGGCAAATGAAATCCTGAAAACAACACACGAGGAATCATTGTGCGCCGCTCCCACCAACTAAATGATTGTGATTGGTGTAAGGCCCACAAACATCTAAACTACAAGAATATATCACCCATTGTTATTTGTTGGACTAAAGAATACCGGTTGGAAAAAATGTTACACATCATCCAACCTGGGGCTGAAACAATTCCTCGAGTACCTCAAATAATTCGAGTACAAAAAAGCCTCGAGTCAAATTCTCTGCCTCGAAGCTTCGTTTAAGTCATGTTTAATTAATTCATGGTTTTGCAATCGCCTGGGGTCATGTTTCACCCGGACCGAAATAAGTGACGCACACTGTACTGAATGCACACGCGAGTAGTGAATGTAAATTAACTTTCTTTTAAGCCATGGCGGACAACGTGGACCTCGGTGGAGTGTGAAAAAGGCAGAAAATGTCAAAGGCGTGGGACCATTTTTAACTTGGTAAGGTGGAAAATGTAGTCCAGTATAAATACTGTAAAATGGATTTATCCTACCACAACACCACATCCTCCATGCTGCAGCACCTGACCAGGAACCATCCACATGTAAATGTCACTTCTGCAAGCGGACTCGGAAGTCCGCTATATATTCTGTGGACACTGTGCGACTTTTTTGTTTGTAGCAGTCAGTTTCAGCTCACACTGTGCGTCTGCTAGCAACACGTCGGACCTAAAAATGTGCTAAAAATAGCAGTTTTTACACAACACGTCTGACTTTTTACTGTGTTGTTATTGATGTCTGTTGTCCCTCGGGATTGCTGCAGGAGGACACGGGTATTTATGAGAGGCAAACGAAATAAATAAATGTTTTGTGATCAGTATAATTTACATAATCACGGCAAACATGCTTTCTTGACAATCCTTTTTATTGTGTGAGAAAAAAGTGTAGAAATTAAAACGGACGTGTGTTAATGGGGAAACAGCTGGCGAGCCATGTTTGCGCATGCGCCGTGAGCGGTTCTGGTGCTGTTTGGGCCGCAGCCGCTCACATTTGTTTACTGTGAAGTGAAGTTGAAGTGCTGAAGTTCTGAAAACTAATTTTGAATAAAACTTGAATAACTGGTAATTGCTTGCTCATTTTAAGAGGCCGCTCATATTTTATAACAGGCTATTTGATATAATGGTTTACAAACACAAAAGAGTAATTTATTAGAGTACTCAATCGATAAGATTCGATAGAGTACTCAATTATAAAAATATTCGATAGCTGCAGCCCTAATCCAACCTTTATGCTTTTTTCTTCCTTCTAAAACAAGCTCAGACAGACAGAAGTAAAGCTTTATGTTTAGTTGATCGTTTAATGCCATCGCTCACCTTCCTCCTGCTTGTTTGAGGGCTTCACATACATGGCATTAAGAGGGAAGCCAGGCTCTCCAGGGATGGGGAAATTTGTGATGCCTAGAGTGTACATCTCCTTCTCTCCTTGATTCCTGGAGCTGCACTGCAAGGATTAAAGCAAAAAATGTTCAGTGAAACCCATTTTACATGCCCTAGATTAGAAATGATTATAAATTAATAAATCACACATGTGCTTCTTTCTAGAAGCACACTTTATGCACCAAAACCCAGCTATTGAGCTCTCTGTGGTTTCCAGGCCCGACTGAGACGCTTCTACTTTCAAACAAGCATTTTAAATGCTACCATTAAACATTTTCACCCATCGAATACAACAGCTGTTAACACTGTACACTTTAATGATACAGATGTTATAAACTCACCTTCTGTAGCTTCTTCAGACACTCAGAAATGTAGAGTGTGATGTAGATCAGGGTCCTGTCTGCCTCATTCTGAAAAAAATATAACGCACTTTTAAGTGATTTAGTTTAAAGCAGTCATGTTTCCCTACAGCATTAATGCTAATGTTACAAAAGGCTTAAATCCAGGGCAGCTATGATGAAGAAACCGTGTTGAGTGGAGTGGAAGAAGCAAGCCCCAACATGTGATGGAATACGAAGTGCATAGCTGCTCTGAGACGGAAGGTGGGAAAGACAGAACATGCACAAAGGCAAGTTTTTATTTAAACATCTTTTATCTGATGAACTCCAGGTGAATTTTACAAGCAATTATAATCTGAAATCTTAAAACAAGTTTATGAAATCTCTTTGTAAATATTTTATGTTCTAGATAAAAACACCATGCATAAAAAGTTTGTGATTCTTAATAGGGGTAAACTCATATTTACAATGTTTTAATACATAAATCTTTATAATCCAATATACTTCTTTAGTAGCACTGATTTGAGAACAGGCACATCCACGGGCAGCCTGGTGCAGCTGCCAAATTTTATATAAATTTATATTTATGTTTCTGAAAAGACACCTGTTCAAAAAATGCTCTCAATTTTAGGTTGACAATTTTTTTTGTTAATGTCTTGCTATCTACCCACACCATCTTTAAGATCGACTGGTAGACCGCAATAAATGTACTGAACACCCCTGCTCTAAAACATTACTGTCACTCCACCAGTTTTACATTTTAAACGATCAGATTATTGGTTTGTTTGTTAGATTAACTTTTAATAAATCATTGTTTTAACAAAAACCAGTGCACAAAATTAATATTCAACTGTTGGGTATATTCAGAGTTCAAAAACTGGTTCAGGTTCAGAAAAGATTTGCAGTAACTGTTATTAGTGACATTTTAGCATGCTGATAAGGTGAAAAATATCTAGATATCGGCCAGAAAAACTGGCTGATCATGACTCCTACATATGAGCATCGGTAAGAACGCACACCGGCCGACCTTTAATTCTTACCTTGATTTCATAATTCTTAAAGAAGACGTTGGCTTTGAAGTAGTAGATCGCTTCTTCAATAATATCAGAATCTAGCCCTGCAAGTTTAAAAAGAAAAAAGAAAATTTTCAATACAGACCAATGCCCTGAGTGTAAAACGTCATGTTTAGTTCATTTGTGTCTTCATTGTTTGTACAAAAGAATTTTGGTGGTTGGTTGAAACAAATCATACATCTTGTTGCAAATAATACATGCATGGGTTCCAGAAATAACAACATAGGTTGTGCTTTAGGTTGATGATGCATTCTTCAGCCCATATAAGGAAGTGAAGCTGACTCGTTTGAGGAACTGAACGACAGCCAAAACTCTGCACAGAACTGGTCAAGTTCTTGACATTTTCATGCATCTGTTACCCGGAAACAGAACGCGTTAGTGGAGACAATTACAGAATTATGATGCTTACTTACCGTCTCCTCTGGCTGGTCCTTTAAATTGAGTTTTAACGGGGAGCAAGGCCATGTTCCCCACTAGCCTTGTATCGGGGATCATCAAGCTTGAATGATACGCCTAAATAAAATCCAGAAAAAAGCAGCTGTCAGATCTGTTCAGATTCTATACGGCGATAGCGCTAGCGACGACCGTACGTTTCACTCATTTACATTCAAGAAGCTAGGGATAATTTCATGATAAACTTAATATCCTCAAAAGGAACATTTAGTGGAATATTGACAATTTTAAGTAATTTTACGAGTAGGTTTCTACCGAATGCTAACGAGCCTAGCTAACTATGCCACAGATGTCCGTCTTCACAGCTAACGTAAAATAGACAGTTTCATGACACAATTCTGGCTTCATAAATCAATAAAAACAAATAGCTGTCGTCAACAGCTATCGCAAAGTATATACTCACCGGCATGTTGAATGAAAGATATCAATCCAACTGCTCAGCAAGACAAATATCCGTGCACCCCCAGACGCTGCTTCCGCCTTCCCACCCTGTAGCTTTACCGGAAGTGAACACGTGTCGTGTGACATAGCGGCCACTGGGGGGTGCTGAAAACAATCTCGTCACAGAAAAGTGCACATTGTGTAATGTTTTATTTAAAAAATATAACATTAGTACATCTATTTAACAACACTTCAGGTTTTTATTTTTAATTTGTCAAATGAAAATAAATCTTGAGTTGTATAAATAATAAAAACAGAAAATAATATTTTAAACATAAAAGACTAGTCCAAAGTCAATTTTATTTAGCTATTGTCCATTTCCTCTTTTGATATGAAGCTCTCCAGCTGAACTTCATCTAAAACCTGCATGCACATGCTGTTTTCCCAGCTGACACACGATCACAATACTCTTCAACAGACAACTTTGTTTTGAAACAGCTCATCGTAGTTTAAATTTGCTGGTTCTTCATCAACTTCCTGATGGAGAAGAAAACCATATTTTATTTAGTTTTAATAAATAATAAAGATTTGCATTATAATTAGATTTGTGTTAATATGTTTGTTTCTTCACCTTAGGCTCCTTGAATTCCAGGTCCTCTCCATACTGAATGGAAAAGTCGATGTGCTGCATGACTATGTTAATTCCTTCCTCATCTGTGCGGTCAAAAGGCAAGAATCTGACCATACTGTAGTCATCTATCTATATATAAAAATAAAATAAAAAACAGAAAAAATATGTCAGTTTACCATTAAAAAATGTTTCTAAATCTAATAAATGACATCATACCAAACCACAAATAGCTTTGGTAAGCTTCTTGAACTTTTGGCTTCTGAAAGTGTCAGAATTATCCTCCATCATAGAGTACATGTCGGGGTCCAGGTACCTTGTAAAAATACACAACTGCCTTAAAGATTTACCAATTATAAACAGTTTATGGAAAGCAAAACTGATGTTGAATGTTAACTTCTCTGGCACTACATACTTTTTTTGCTTTATCCATGCAAAACTTACTTTTCTATTTCTTTCTTTGCTTTGGGGCTGAGCAGATCCATCTTTGTCATGATGTTTACTTGAGGAATTTCTAATGACACCATGGCACTCAGGGCAGCCATGACCCCAGATATAAACTACAGTTGAAACACGTAAAAGATGAGCGCACCTTAGTTTAAAACAACTTGCGCTAAAGAAAATGACACAAACATAAAAGAACAGATATATGGTTACCTTAAATGACTCCACCATGAACTGTGAGTCGACTAAAAACACCCCACACACCCGAAACTCCCACTGCTGGAGCTGCTCCACCAGTTGTCTCATCACAGGGACGTGTGTGTAAAGTTCAATCTGACCTGTTTAAAGTAAAAACAACACAAAGCTTCAAACTTATGTAATTTAAAAAGGACTTACCTTTAGATCAATTAGACCAAACTTTACAGCCAATACTAAAGTTATGTTTGTTAAACAGATTACTCACCTGGGCAGTCAAACAGAATATAGTCATCTTCCACATGGCCCAGACTTTCCTCCAGCCAGTCAAAGTTGTTGGCAAAGTACTCCATGCAGAAGACCAGACCTCCGTTAGGGCCAAATTTCAGAGAGTCATCCTCCATCACATCATCGACCTGGATGAGCTCACGGATGTCTGACAAAGCAGGACTGCAATCAAATATAGTGTGCTTCACGGAGAAAGTAATTAATTTAAAAAATCCTCCTGATGTTACTTGTACTTGTGAGTTAATCCTATCAGAAGTAATTGTTTTACTAAACTGAATTTAAATAAAAAGACCAATCCACAAAATCACAATCACAAAGTGTTTCCATATTTTTTATCCGAAACTACAAGTGATCACCATGTAACAATGAAACCTAACCTAATCTATTTGAATTTCTTCATTTTACACAATTTCTGTTTTCCTATTAAGCCTTTCTGATGTGATCTTTAAAAGTCTTTACCTGCCATCACAGGGTAGTCAAAATGCTCAGCAGCAGGATCCAGATTTACCACCTGAACAGATCGATTTAAGGCCTCTGCATGCTGGACCAAGGTGGAGCAGTAAGTACTCTGAAATATCAGACCAAAAAAACGAAGACAGAAGTTATAGTTTGTGTAGCACTTGCCTTAGCTCAACATGTTAGCAACGCATTATAACATAAGAAAGCATTTATGACGTCCAGCGTGATCAGCGATGACTTACCTTACCGCTGCCCGCCGGGCCCATCACTAGTTGGGCATAACGAGGCATTTTATCCCACCTTTACCACACCTGTGCCCTGGTTAATTTAGTTCACGTAGCTTCTCACAGTTAGCTAACTGCTGTCCTGAGAGTTTTTCTTCTGCTTTTCCGTAACATCCGGTTGCCTGCCTCACTACTGCCCCCTCTTGATTAGCTGGTGAATTATCACATTCAACCGCGAACAAAAATTCAAATGTATTTATTTATCTTATAACGTGACCTAAACATCTAACAATTTCTTCAATGTGTAAAGAATAATTATGATTTAGCTCATTTGATTAGCCTTAACAGCAGATTTTTGTTGTATACATTTTAGCTAACAGTAGATGGCGGTAGAGGGTATTGACAGAAAAAAGAAGGAAGTAGAAGGTAGCTAGAGAACACGAGGAAGACACAAACTACTACATCACGATGAAGTGTTGCAGCAACAACACAGTCAGAAATACTTGACCTGGTCACTTGTCTTCATCATTTAACTTTATTATAAAAATGGCTAAATGTTTAGACAAAGTGAGTTGATTGACAAGTTAAGCTAGTAGAAGAACTTTCGCGTGAAAGCGAAAATCTTGTTGGTAGGTATCCAATATGGTTTTGTATACAGTAAAGCATCGAGTGTTTATTTTATTGGGTTGCATTGTGTGTTATGGTTTGGCTTTAAAGTAGCTGCGCATGCTAAATCAGTTTTGTTAGTTAGTCAGAAATATTAGCTTCGAGAGTTCGATTAATGATTCAAACATTTGCCATTATCTATCTGGGAGTTTTCGAAAGTGAACTTTACAGACTCGCTGTTACTGCAGCGGTGTTCACGATAACACCGCCCTTCACTATCAAACGAAACATATTTTTACGTTTTTCAGCGTTCACTCTTTGTTTTATTGCAGAAAGGGAAGTCGAAGACAGCGAGAGGTGTTTAGTAGCTTAGATCAAGTCATTATTAGCTTCAAACCCACCGCAGTGCATCACGGGTTATTTGATCATTTTTCTTCTTAGACGTTTTTAATTAAACAGCAATGTCTAGCTAATCTTCGTGACCAAGGAGCTTTCGTAAGTAAGTATGTGTTATGTAATTTTTAAAGTTAATAAATTATTTACATGAATGGAAAAGGTCACAACTTTAAAAGCAGCTGATTCAAGTTATGTTTTAAATCTAGCTTTAAAGAGCAAGTCACTCCCTACCAGATTCTTACTCAACTCCCACATCCTGTTTGAAAAAATGCAACAAATGCTGTTGCCTAGCAGACCAAGAGGGTGGAGCCACTAACAAATGCACACACAGGCTCACAACAAGTTTGTGTCATCATATGGTACCAGCTAATGTTTTAGGGTACGTATTAGCCAATAGCGATGGCAGATTTAAATTCAAATGCAGTGCAGTTTTTACCCGACAACGTCAGAACACTGACAGTTTTAGGCAGAAATTTTAAATTTTAACTAAAGTGCAAAACTATTGACTACACGTGTCTGCAGCACGATTAGACATGCATTTATGTAGTTTATCAAAATAAGTTTATCAACTTTTTCTTGCAGATAAACTATATAAATGAGTGTCTAATCATGCTGCAGACACGTGTAGTCAATAGTTTTGCACTTTAACATTAAAACAAAACATTACAGTTATTAGCTTTCTCCTCTGACGTTCAGAGTATAACGGTTGCGACGCCATGCGTTATGTCCGCGGAATGATGCATTGAGGCATCCTCGATACAATGGGCGGAGCAAGATCACATCCGGGAACTTTGAGCGAACTTGCATACTTAGGATTGGAACAGTCCTTGGGCCATCGTTGATGACGTTTCACAAGGATGTGAGTACACAAGTATGCATATTGAGAAACAGCCCGTGTGTGTTTGTTAGCAGCTGCGCCCTCAGTGTGCTAGGGAACAGGATTTGTTGCATTTTTCAAACAGGAAGTGGGGGTGGAGTGACTCTGGTAGGGGTGACTTCACTCAGACTTGAGTCAGGTGGGTGAAGTGGGACAACTGTGATCTTCTCTGCTGCTCTCACTATTCACAGCAGAGATTTCTGACAGGATGCTGTGCATCTGCCGTAACACACAGTGGTGCAGCTGGTCATGATAGGGATAGGTGCTCTAGCTCTTCGTGATCTGATAAGAATGTTTTGTTTTTGGCCTACAGGAGACATATGAGTATTAATTTTCTTTACAGCTTGAGATAACTGCGCACTAAGCACACAGTGTCATACGTGATAAAAAAATACACTGTCACTAAATAAGGCCAAAAACGGTGATTTTTGTGTTTGACACTAATATCAAAGAGTTATATATCTGAAGAAATTGGTTCAAAACAAAATATTTGACATTAAAGTGTTACCTGTATTTTCTCCTTGTTTTCTAAAATTCCAGGCTATGAGTTTGGACAATGGAGGATAGTCAGTGTGGGGACTTGGACTACCTAATCCAGGATGAGGACACCATCATTGAGGGTGTCAGCAACCAGGTTTTGTTCGTGGTGGTCCTCAGTTTCACCTTCCTTGCAGGCCTTCTGACTTTGATCTTCAGGTAAGCTCCGAATCAGATGGTTATCAAGAAAAAAACCTTTAAAATTTGTTTAAACATTTGTTGCAACTTATTAAGAAGTAATTTTACAAGTCTTGTATTTGGGCTAATATTAGACTTATATTCATATAGAGGAAGTCTGTATAATGTTGCTTTTGGTCCCTTATAGGCAGGAGCAGCAGAATATTCACCCTGAGAATCAGGAGCATGTCCGGGCCGTCAGGCAACAGCTCCAAACTGATCAGGTAGAATCTGAAGGAAAACTACATTTTGGGGCTTTCAAGTTGATTATTAATGCTCAAAAGGTTGTAGAAGGCAGGAGAAAATAGCTACAGCTCCTAAAAGCCACAGAAACACATCAATACATTTCACTTGTTAAAAAATTTGCAGAAGCATTGTCTTTCTTAGAAAGATTTTATTTTTAATGACTGTAATTTATTTTGCATGCTGGTGATGAACTAAAACAATCACTTTTATTATAAAGCAAATGCCAACATGTGATCTCTGTAGGATGAAAATCCTCAGACAGAAGCCAGGCTGCAGTATTACACAGACATGTCCTGTCCTGTGTGTTTACAACAAGCTGTTCTGCCTGTGGAAACCAACTGTGGACATCTTTTCTGTGGTAAGAACATTGAGGGTGCTCGCTGCAGAACTACAATGGTGGAGCTGCACCAGGGTCAGCCCTGCCCATTCACGCAAACTCAGCCTAGCCCACTGACTTCTTCTGTTTTTGTTTTTCAACTTTATCGCAAACTGACCTGACCCACATGAATTACGGCTGTTACTAGTTTACAGTCATTAATGCTATGTTCTATGCTCCAATTAAACAAGATAAATATAACTTGCTACATGACAAAGCCTGAATATATCCCGAAAAGAAAAGGTTTCTTATAACAAATATCTGCCCACAGCCGCTCTAACAAAACCCACATACAACAGCATTTAATGCAATTGAATAGGTTCTGGTAGTCCAGTGGCAAGACCGTCTGACTTAAGTTTTGCTTTCCCCTCAGCTGATGCTGGTTCGACTCTCGGTGGGGTCGTCAGCAATCTATTTAGCCAACTGAAACATTTAATTTGTTTATATTTTAGTTGTAATGTTTATTTTCAGCAAAATATTTATGTCTCTAAAATTTCTTTGAATTTGGTCATTCCTAAACAGCATTTTAGTTGAAACTCTGCTCACAAATGGACTCACACTGGCTAAATAAATAAATAAATAAACACATTAGTCATTATATGTTAAACGGTATACCAGTAAATTGTTGTAAACATAGTACTGGCAAGTATGGCTAGAAAAGGGGTTTTAAACTACTTAATAATTCCGCTACTGTGAGACGAACCTGCGCAAAACTGCATGTCAGCCTGACTCCATAACCACTTCACCAACACATCTGATAAAATATAAGTGGCGTTACATGTAATTGTGCCATCCAGTGTGTCTTTGTAGATGGGATGAATGGTTTATTGGCGGGGTCTCAGTTGAAGTCATTTCAGAAATAATTTGTCAGAAAATTCACAGAATTTCCAGATTTGAGAACCAAGACCAGACCCGCTTCGGAGGAGGAGACCAAATTGAAGCTGAGATGGGAAGAAAATGCATGAATGAGGCCAAAAATGGCTTTGGCGTGTTTCTTATGAGGAAATGACAATATAACATGGTAAAATGTTCTAAAAGTTAGATTTTTCATTATATGGAACCTTTACAAAAACTGTTCAATTAACTTCTCAACTCCGTCCTCAATCTTGCATTTTTTAGCTATAACACCCTCTTTGGTTCCAGAATGCTATCAAGTCTGACAACTGGAAGGAATTGGACTGACTCTGATGGAATGGGCGGGGCTGACTCTGGTGCAGCTCCACCTTCTGGTGCAGCTCCGCCTTTGTGGTTCTGCAGCGAGCACCACTTGGGAATATTGGACAGGTTCTGACCATCTGCAGTGAGCTAAATAGAAGTCATTAAAACAGGAGAAAGTTAAGAATTGACCTTTGTTTCACCAAAACAACTTTTAAAGACCAAGTTCAATGAAAAATATGTTACTTGTTTTTCATGCAGGCTGATCTCCTGCATTAGTCACCGAAAGAAAATAGACGGTGTTAATCTAGGATTTGAATAGCCCAACAGATCTGTGTCACACTGTCACTTAACATTCATGGACTCACCCATCTTGACTCATGACGGGGAGGCAGGTGTTGTTTGAGCGTCCAGGAAACAGCAGAGAATGTCTCGGCTAGTAGAAGCTAATCGTTAGCATTAGCAACAAGGCAGAACTCCTTCAGGTTTGTGTTACCTGTTGAGATAAACCATCAATGTTGCAAAGCAAACAGAGTCAGTGGTAGAGTCCTGTTGCTCTTAGCCAATCTGAGGAGAGGTCCAAATATCAGGTAGTAAGACTCCAAATCCTGTCATCTTCAGCTCCACTCTTCTCTAGCTAACTTCTACTCCTTCAAACAGGAGCATGAGAGTTTTATGATGATCTCTGGGGGGGGGGGGGGGGAGCCAAATTCACATTTACACTAGGGACCACTGCAAACGGGTGAACTTGGTCTTTAATGTTTTTTTTTGTTGTTGTTGACTTTTGTGTGAACAACTGAAGCTTTTAAAATACAAGAATAGTTATAGACACACTGCCAGGCTCAGTTTCATCTGTGTTTGAGTACATCTGTTGACTCTGACTCAGACTAACCTTTATCATAAAAGTTACCTTTGAAGTTGTTCTAATGTGTGTTTTCATTACTTCTTCATAGGTTCCTGCATTCTAGCTTACTGGAGGTATGGCACCTGGCTGGGTGCCATCCACTGTCCAATCTGCAGACAGATGGTGAGACTTAAAATATGTATTTTAATTCTGAAGTCTCTGAGTTTTCATGTCAGTCACATTTAGTTTGCAGCTTTCTGAACTCACCTTCAAAGTCAGATGGGGCAGGCAGCAGGTGCTCGTGTGCCTAATTTATGACTAGCGCATCGAGAAGAGAATTACTTTTTACAGAAACACCCCGACAATGTGAGAACAACAGCTAGGAAATAAGTTGTTTTAAAAGCTTGTGGCACTATAGGCATAGTATGTATTGAAGATGGATTATTCTCAGTTATCTGCAGTTAACCGTAGAACTGAGGTAGACTATCAGCTCTTCTCTTTCTAACTGTAGGAATGCATCGTACTCCCTTTATGGAGACTTTTGTAAGTAAAGCTGAATCCAGGGGCCTCATTTATCAACCGTACTTACGCACAGATCCGTGCATATATCGTGCGTAGGAACTAATTTACGCATTGTGTGGTATTCATCATTTTATACCCATGCGTGGAAATGTTCCTAAATATAAGAAAACTTCACATCATGCGTAAGAACAGCATCTAGTGGTAGAAAGGGGGAACCGCAACACTGAAGTTCTCAGTCGTCCACTCATGTTCCTCATCCACAAATAATTTTACTCATTAAATAAATATTTTTGTGGAAAAACAGCTGATTCACATAATTGGTGCTGAAACACCCGACGGGAATCTGACATTGTAGAATGGATTTCTTGTTTTTTGTAATCACAATTTTTACTCTTTTCATTTTTATGATGTTTCTATTTTTTTATTAATTAATATTACTTTTCATTAAATTTAATTATATTTTTGTCCATGTGAGACACCTCATGATTTTGCTTGAGATGCACTCGATAAAAGAACGTTTCTTAATATTTAGAGCGAGTCACCCTCTACAAGAAACTTACTCCACTCCCACTTCATGTTTGAAAAATGCCACAAATGCTGTTGCCAGGCAGACCGAGAGGGTGGAGCCGCTAACAAATACACACAAATAGGCTCACAGCAGAACTGTGACATCATAATGTACCAGCTAACATCATTGTGTACCTCTTAGCCAATAGCGGTGGCAGTTTTTACCTGACGATGTTGCAACACTGACCGTTTTAAGCAGAATATTTAAATTTTAACTAAGATGCACTAAAGTACCAAATTATTGACTACACGTGTTTACAGCACAATTAGACACTCATTTATATAGTTTATCAGCAGAAACAAGTTGATTTGGGGGTGACTTGCTCTTTTGACAGAGCATGCTCTCTGGAGCGTTTCTGTGAGCGCGCTGACAGGAGATCTGTCTGGAGCTACGTTGGGATTTGGGACCAATTGTGGAGCGACATATAAACCTCATAAATTCGATTCCAGTCCATATTCTATTTTAATTTACAACTACGAGACCCCCCCAAGAACCTCCTCTGCTCCCTGATCATACACACCGCGTTTGCAAAGTAACCAGACTGAATGACAGCTCAGAAGAAACTGCACTCTCGGATATTTCCAAATAAAACAAACGATCCAGAACGACATCTTAAATGTAAAATATAAATGACAACCCGTTACTCTACGATTTATCATGTTAAAGTTTTTATTTATTTCTGGCAGATACCTCTCCTCTGTCCTGCCTGCGTTTATAACCTCTATAACTGGTTTGGTTGTTCTGCACTTCGTCAGCTAGTGCTCGATCTCCCAACAGTTTTTTTTTTTTTTCTCTGGGTAGAAGACAGGGAATCCCCTCACTGCTGAGGACATAGCATGACCAAACATGGTTAACTGTTTCTGTATGTAAATGACTGAGAACGGACACGAACACCTGGGTACGCACAAGTGGGATTTATCATCAGATGATTACCGAAGAACGTGCGTATGAGAGGCCACCGCATGTTTCATAAATCAGCATTTTGACTGTGCATAGGACCATTGTAAATTTTGTTCACAAGAACGAATTTAGGAATATTTCTACTAACGTTTGATGAATGAGGCCCCAGGAGCCCTCACCTCTGTATGGTTGGTCTTTTCTCCCCAGGTGACACTACTGTTTCCATTATTTCATGAGGATGCTGCTCCTCCGCGGGTGCAGGATGGAGAGGCAGAACCTCAGTTTATATTAAGAGATGTCAACGATTACAACCGTAGGTTCTCCGGCCAGCCAAGATCTGTAAGTTTGCTTTATTCGGATTATCATTACGTTATTTGGGTCACTTCAACTACTTTTCAACTAAAAACAAAGATAGGTTTGAGAAGCATTTTTGTCATCATGTTTAGAAAAGAATTATTTTAAAGTCTAAAAGTTTTACAGTTTACCAAGGCACAATCATGAGATTAGCCTTGTGATTTAGAACATATTGCCCTGCTCTTTTCCCAGATTATGGACAGACTACGGGACGTGCCCACGTTGCTCCGTCACGCCTTCAGGGAGATGTTTTCTGTGGGTGGCCTCTTCTGGATGTTCAGGATCAGAATCCTACTCTGCCTGGTCGGCGCCATCACCTACCTGGCCTCGCCGCTCGACATTCTGCCCGAAGCACTGTTCGGCCTCCTGGGTTTCCTGGATGATTTCTTTGTGATTCTCCTTCTGTTTGTCTACATTTCTATCATGTACAGAGAAGTGGTCACGCAGAGACTGAATGGTTAGGCGATCACTGATCAGACTTGAGCGAGGACTTCTAGAAACTGAATAAATGCTGAAGTTTCCTCCGAGGGCTTTGCTTTAATTAAACGGGCTGTTTTAGAAGAGGTTCGCCTAAAGAGTTCTGGTTGTTTTTATGTATGAAAGTTCTAAAAGCTTGAATGAAACATGGTTAGTAACAATGAAGGCTGAAGAAGACCGGTGTATGGTACTTCACCCAGGCTGAACATCTCGTAAGGAAGTGATCATCCTGACTGCTTTTGACCTTATTTATGAAAACAGATATTCAGTTCAGCCAAGTGAAAACAAAAACATCTTTAAAGTATTGATTTAAAGTTCTTGATTTCTTGACATAAAGTTGATTTAACCACAGTTGACGAGCCAAATTAACATTTAACTGTGGTTGTTGCAGCTTTTCTGACCATTTAAATTGACGAATGCTGTTATTTCTTTTACTTACAACTAATCATCCTGTTAGATGTGTGAGTGAATCCCTAACAGTTCGATCTTCATGTTAAACAATTGGATTAGATGCAATCCTGAGATTCATGCATCCGGATATTCTGATTACGCAAGGCAGTTGTAAAAAATGCAAAATGTATTTCTTGATTATAATAATAAACAGAAAAGTGACCATTTTAAAAGTCACATTGAAAATGAGGGAGAAGTTTCAGACATTTTTTATTTAAATCATTTCAAACAATGAATGTGAGTTTAGTTGTTTTATTTTCGAACAGTAATTATAGAAATGTTTGTGTGGGAAAAACTGCATCACAGTCTAAAATGTTCTCTTAGTATTCAGAATTGACTTAAAATATCTAATTTGTTTAAGTGAACGTGCAGCGAGTGTGGTGCTACTTTTGTAAATAATTGGGAGGGTACTATGTACCCAAACTGGTGTTAAGAGTTTCTGTTTGGGGTCGGTGAAGCAAAACTTTCCAAGTTGACTTCATACATGAATAGCAGGCATGACTAGTAATAACTAGTCTTGCTAAGAGAGAGCCTTCTCTGTTTTTTTTTTGTTTGTTTGTTTGTTTTGATTTGTTTTTGGTTATTTATTTAATTTGTTAAGACAAAAAGTGACTTACCTTTGCAACCATGGGAAGAAGTGGTCCAAACTTCTGTGGCAGCAGCAAATGTAACAATTATTCATGACTTGAACATAAACAGGAACTCTGGACTAAAGCACTATTTGGAGTTGGATATAAACATCCTTTATATTAAAAACTTTAAAATATGATTTACTTTAGTCAAACCACAAGTTTTATCTCTGATTTTTACTGAGTAGATTAAACTCAATTTAGCTCATAATCTGTTCAAAAAATGCAAACACTAACACGTCCGGAATGTCTCTTAGGTATTCGAATAGAATTGAATGGACTTTATTAATCGCACAGTGGGGGAATTCACTTGTTACAGCAGCATATACATTTAGAGAAAAAGGAAGAAAACGATAAAATTACAAGTAAACAGGCAGTAAGCTATTACTGTAATCTTCAACCACTAAATAAAAAGAAAACTTGGATTTCCAAAACTATGCAGCATAAGGGATACAGACATACTAATGCACTTCTGGTATTGCACATGTCTCAGTCTTCCTCTGAAGGAGCTGTCCATGGTCTTCACAGTGGAAAGCAGTGTTTTCCAAGATGGAGGTAATCTCCTACAGCATTTCACGTTCGTCTCCTCAACTGAATCTAGTTAGCAGCCCTGAACCGAGCTAGCTTCTTTGACTACCTTGTTCAGCCTCATCCTGTCTCGGTCAGAGCTGCGTGCACCCCAACAGACCACAGCAGAGTGAATAACAGAGCCAACAACAGTCATAAAAGGATTTTAGCAGATGGAAATTACTTCTGAAGGACCTCAGCCTCCTCAGGAGGTGGAGGTGGCTTTGGCCCTTCTGTGTTGTTGGAGCGGTTCAGTTTACTGTTGAGGTGAACACCCAGGAATCCACCACCTCGATGTCTGCTCCCTGGATGTTTACTGGTAAGTGAGGAGGAGTGTTTCTCTGAAAGATGTTTCACATCTTTTTGCGAGCCAAGACTGAATCTATTCTCTGGGGGTAACTCCTCCATCTGCTCTAGAGAACTGGTTGGGCAAGAGAATCGAAAAAGGTGGCGAAAGACTTTTGGGAAGACTCAGTGTGAGTCTAGGAATAGATTTGTCTTATTGTAATGCCAGTTCCACCTACTTAAGATATTCCCCTCAAACAATGAATTTGTATTTCACAGGCCTCATGTTTACATGCCACAATAACAGTGGGAATGTCCCTTTATCGTGTCCTGACTCCGCCCACCCCACCGGCCTCTGCTGGCCTGCCGAAGGAAGCGCACCCGACTGACTAATAGGCTGACGGGATCGAGAGACACCCAGAGAGCCAGCAGTAGGGAGTGTATGAATCTTGCCGTGAAGTTCAAGCTCCCTTCGACGAGTCCGCGTGCGTGAGGTAAAGATGAGTACATCAGAGACGTTGGACAGAATGGAGCTCTGTGAAAGTCTTTTAACGTGGGTGAGTAATGAAATGAAAGTGTTTGTTCCACTGTGACAGCCGTTGCCGGCTAGTTAGCATGCAATGCTAACTGACGGGGCTAACGGAGGCAACGCTAGCTGGTTGGAGGAAAATGACACACAGGCTCACTTTGGTTACGTATGCAGGCCAGCTGTTTGCTGTGCTTAGCCTCGGATGCACTCCTAGCTAGCTACCAGCGTCTGGCTGAAAAATTACATTCAAAATTTGAACAAAAGTCTTAGTATCTAAGGTTAGCTCAACTTTCTTATGCTGAATCTCTGCCGTATGTAGGAGAGCAAAGACACAAATAAACACTTTATTGCTGAAGAGGTTGTATTTCTCCTTCCGATTCCGAGTCTGCTTTGGGGCAAGATTCCTGTCATTGTTGTTCAGTGTCGCCCGATGTCCTTCCTCGTTCCTCCCAGCTGTTAAACACGCGATAACTTTTTAGTGAGCATTTACTTTTCCTCCTATCCCCCATGCCATCCGTGTCAAAGCCTTAACCATCAGGTAGAACTGTCAAACGGTCCCAAATGCTCGAATGAGAAAAAAATAAACCTGCTGAAAATGTTAATTATTGTAGAATTTACACAGGAAAGTTGATGATGAAACTTAAGTAGCTTAGATACATCGTTGGTTTTAAAGCTTTGGGTTTAGATTAGCTGAGATTGTGCCATGTTATGAAAACTCCACGTAGGGAACATGTCACACAAACTACCAGCAGAAACCAGGAGCAGTGTTTAACAAAAACATGCACTGATTAAAGGGCTTGATATCAGGAGTTTGATGAGCTTCAGATGAGTGAGCTGGAGTTGGCTATCCACATTAAAATCACAGGAAGTTCCTTTAAAATCAACTTATTGATATGTTGTGAATCAGACTTGTAGGCATTTTTACTGAGGTAAATAGTTTTTTTTCTATTCCTGTTGAATGTTAACTCCCATCATGGAGACCGATCGTAAAGCTGGTCATTGTTTTGAATCAGTGCAATAGCAAACCGTTTTGTTTTAAATAAAATCGCTCCAGTAGGATAGGATGTGTGCAGTAGGGACTATTTTAATTGATCTATAACTAGGTAAAGTTATCTGGGAATTAAAGTAAATGAAAATGGCACAGTTTACTTTCTGATTTTTCTTGTACCTAAGCAGCAGTAGTGTGTATGTAAAGGTTGCATAATCAAAGACTGATAGCACATTAAACTACTGTAGATCAGTGATTTAATATGCCCTTACATGATTTAAAATGTTGTCATCTTTATGGTGTGATCGCCTAGAAAACCTAAAACTCCACTAACAAATCAAAGAAGGTTGAACTATGGTTTGGCAGCTTAACAAACTTGATTTCTATCTTTTTGCTTAGAGCTTAGCACATTTCTGACATTTAACTAATTCTATGTCATTCTGCCAATCCTATTATTGTCTTTGAACGCACAGTAATTTGGCTTGGTGGCTCCAATATTTAAGTAATATGCAGAAACTGGAATCCAAGTAACTGTGATCAAGAACCTTTGATTCTAGGCTGAAACTGGTGACAGTCTTATTTACGGTGGCAAATTGGCACCGGCTGTGTTATTATTTAGAGGAGCAACACGTTTGATTACAGTCATCACAAGTTCATTTGTGTTCTTGTTTAAGTTCCAGTTGTGTGAGGCGTGTTCATCTCCTTTTCCAGTTGTTTCCATAAACCAATAGGTGTGGATTTCCTCTTTGACCTCAGTCATTAGTTATTTTGATTCTGGCTTCACTACAGGATTTATTTTTTGGAATACAATTATTTCTGTAAACAATCCATTTCAGGTACGTCTTTATTTGTTTCAGTTTTTTATAATCCTCTTTTTTGCAAATGCTTAAGAGGATTAACCTTTTAGTGAAGTGTTCTGTTGTTCAAGGGTCCATTGTACGTTTATGGTATCAGGAGGATTATCATTTTTCAAAGCAGTTAGCAGGTTTGGACTATGTCTCATTACCATTTTAGGTCATTAGTACATCAGTACTTTTGCGTGGTGGTTTATTCCACGTTTAGCGTCTCAGGAACAAAAAGAGGCTTCATTCACAGATTTGCTTTAACCTGCAGTGAGAAGCAGCTCTTCTCTGTTAAATTACTACAATAAACATCACATGGTGACACATTCCTTTTGTTATCCAGTGACACCCAGGTTTTGGACTTGTTGGAACAACAACCCAAGGTGTTTAAAAATGGAGAAAATGTTGGTTCTTATGTTGTTTCATGATTATATTTATTGCCTTGATTATTCTCTTATTAAATCAGTGGTTTTATAACCTTTTGCTGCCTTTCATCGTCTGCAGCGCTAGCTCATCCCATATCTTCTTTCTCTTCTATTTCGTGCAAGGGTAAATAATACAGAGGAAATGTTGTTTTTAGGATCTATTACCACATTCAAAATAATACGTGTAACCTTTTCTTTTGTTTGCTTTCAGTTCTCTTTTAAACAAATATTCTTATGAGATGTAACTTTTTAAAAGCTGACATTCTGCCCTTTACTATCTTGGAAACGGTCTTGATTTTTAAACGTGTTAGGAATGATCCGCTTGCATCATCTTCCTGTGTGAACTAACTCCAGCATTCCTGCTTCGACTTTCCCTCCTCTTTTGGCACATGGACCGCTGACGTCTAAACTGAAGAATATAATTTCCATTGGAGCAGCAGGTTTAAGTCTGGGCTGTGCATACGAAAGCAAAATGAAACAAACAGAAAGACCGAGGACAGGAAAAGATCTGAATACTGATGGAGGTTATGTAATAGGAACTGAGAGTTGACAGGCAAAGTTTGGCTGGAAGTCGACTGTTGGAGACCGTTATTGCTGAAGCATGCATTAAGATCTTATAAATAGATTAAATCCCACCCTTGCCTAATAGGACCTGTAGTTGAGATTTGGGGACCCATCACCATTGTAGGAGACCTGGGTGATTCGGGTTGGGAGTATTCTCATAGGAGATGGTAAACAGCTGCTCAAATGCACATTTTAACATTCAGGTGTGATAGTTATAATGTTGTAATTATAATCAAAGTATTGTTTAAAGTTGTCATCCAAATGCCAAGTTTATATTAAATCCTTCATGTCTTTGTGTTCATGCTCAGATCCAAACGTTTGGAGTGGAGGCGCCATGCAAGACAGTAGAAGACTTGACCAGCGGAGTCGTCATGGCACAAGTCCTGCAAAAAATGTAAGCTCTAAGGAACATTATGCTAATGTTGCTCGTGTGTTTTTGCCTTTTCTATATTACTTATTTTGATTATTTCTTTGTTACCAAAACACAGTTTAAATACTTAAATTGTTCTTTTTGTTCCTGATTGTAGAGATGTAGTGTATTTCAGCGATGCTTGGATTAGCAGAATCAAACCAGAGGTTGGGGACAACTGGCGGTTAAAGGTAAGATTAGCTAACTGTCATTAACAAACATGTAATTTTGTATAATGATGACTTCTGCCTTTAATTTTTATGACTCTTTAGATGCAGTTTGACATCCAAACAATCATCACAATAATGTATTCTCATTCCAATTTTACAAGCAAGGGTCTCATTTATCAAACATTGCGTAGAATCCTTACTAAAACCGTACTTAAGCTCAGCAAAAATATGTACTTACGCCAAGTAGGTTTGTGATCTATTAAACATGGAGTACGCACAGCTGCACGCAACCTCCGCTTCATAAATCGGAGACTTAACGAGAATGTTTCTCAGCTGCATTTTAGTCACATCCTGCCCTCACCACGCCCACTTACTGCCATAAATTGTCAATGCAAAGTGCCTTGTGGATCTCCTGCATATAGATTAGCCGGCTGTTGCAGCGCTCCACCAATGACATGGCGACCGTAGATCAAGGCAGATCAAGGAAGTGCAATTTCACAGAAGCAGAAATTGAGGTACCTGTGGGTGAAGTGGAGAAATGAAAGGAAGTGCTTTTACAAAACAAATAGAGAAAATCTACGGAGTGGCACAGCGCTGCTGAAGCCGTCAATGTTGTGAATTCTTCAGAGAGATCTGTGGTGGATATAAAAGAAATGGTCCAATTGGGATTCGTTCCCCAGACTCCCAGGTGAAAGTCACACACCCTAGCCAGTCACCCAAATAGAGATGTCCCTTGACTAAAGCCGGGTGTACACTGTGCGACTTTTTCACTTTTTTGAACCGATTTTCCACTCCTGCGAGAATCCACAAGATCGGGGCGAGTTTTGCGCTGAGCGTCGTGTAGTGTACAGGGGGTTACGAGAGGCGATTAACACCACGTGACCAGCTACCGATCAGCAATCGTGAGCTCGCACGGACTTCTGGCGTGTTTGATATTTTGCTCGTCCCTCGTGAGGGTATCGCACTGTTGAAGCGGCGCTGCGAGCAGCTGCGACCCAAAAAGTATCAGAACCGCTCACAGCGCATGCGCAATCATGCATCAACACTGCTTGCCCGCTATTTCCCTAATAACACACATTGTTTGTTTTTATTTCTACACGTTTTTTTACTCACAAAGATTGTCAAGAAATGGTGTTTGTCGTGTTCATGTCAAATTAACCCTCTGGGGTCCATGGAGGCGTATCAGCGTCTTTTGAACAGGTCTGATTTGGGACGCTGTAGCAGCAAGACTCCGCCTCCCTGAGTTTTGGTTTCAATTCAGCTTTAAAAAGGAAATATAAACTACACCCCAGTTTTTAATTTTTTTTAATAGGCAACGTAAAAGCAGAGTTATACTAAACTAAAAAACAACCTATTTTTAGACAATCTGATAACTTGTCAAAACAGCAGTTTAGTAATCAGTGAGAGGGAATGTGCTTGTGAACATAAAAAACCCACAAAAACATGAGATCCTTTTGCTGTTGGTGGAAGTCTCACATATTCAATTGATAAAAAATATCATCATGTAGCTGAGAGAGAGAGGAAGGCTGCACGAGTAACGAGATCTGCGCAAAAGGAGCCGCTTCGTGGGGAAAGGAGTGGCGCAAACGGAGTAACAACAAACAGTTAGACAGAAATTGACGGTAGACTTCATATTCTGGAGCGATCCGGTCAGATATATTGTCTCTGCAGTTTAGTAAGCTTTTATTAGGCTTATATAAAGGATGATGAGAAGGATAAATGTCCACCAGGCAGTTTAGATAGTACGGCTGTTTTTTGAACTGGAAGCAGAGGAAGTGGACGGAGACTCGCAGCCAGAGTCTGAGGCAAATAGCGAGGATGTTGATGACGATGTGGCACATCCATCCTTCCTCATAGAAGAGTTGGGTCATGATGAGGTAGAGGATGAAGGCAGAGATCCAGCTCCTCGGAGATCCAACTAGAGGAGTGGGCGGCGCCGCGCAGCTGACCGAGCCACTCCCCACTCCAAAATGCATGTACATTATTGCCAAATTAAGAGAATAATTATAAATTCAGATAGTCCAGGTTGTCCTCAAAAAAATGATACCCCATAAGGTAATATTTATTGTTTTTATTGTATTATTTATGTGCATAAGCAAGCTTGATAAATGAGGCCCCAGGTCTTTACCCAAGTTCTGTTTCTTTTCAGATCAGCAATCTAAAGAAAATCCTAAAAGGCATCCTGGATTATAACCAGGAGGTAAGAAAATGTTGGTTTATTCGTTTTTAAATAACCTGTCAGCCTCCTGTGCTGTTGCTGGATAGCTGTGGTTGTCTCTGATCACTCAGATGATGAAACTTTAGGAACGTTTTGCATTCATGTTTCCTTTACTGCTTTTTTAGATCTTAGGCCAGCACATTAACGACTTCACGTTACCGGACGTAAACCTGATTGGAGAGCACTCAGATGCAGCAGAACTTGGGAGGATGTTACAACTCATACTGGGCTGTGCTGTGAACTGTGAACAGAAGCAAGGTGCTTATTTAAACTGTATCCAAAACAAGGTTCTGTCCTATTACATGTTATGAAGCTATAGAGCCTAAAGTCTCCTTGTGTTTTTCTGTAAATCATAGAATATATCCAGACGATAATGATGATGGAGGAATCTGTGCAGCATGTCGTCATGACGGCCATCCAAGAGGTAGATTGTCCGTTTTGTTTAAATGTTGAACAAATGGTTCCTACACGAATCCATTAGTTTTTAATTTGATCCCAAATTCAACTTTTGGGTAATTGTTTCTAACGCGCTCATTTTTGTGCTTCTGTAGCTGATGAGTAAAGAGACGCCAGTCATTGGAGGAAATGAATCGTATGTGGATCTAGACAGACAGGTACAGAACTTCCTATATGCTTTTATCATTTTTATTAAGTTTATTGATGTTTTGTTAATGTTCTTATTTTATTTTAACACATTAAACAGTATTTTTTATGTTTTCTTTTAATTTTCTGGTACTTTAGTGTTTTTCTTTGCTGCTTTAATGTAAAAAGCTTTGTTCAACAGCAGTTGTTGTGTAAATGCTGAACAAAGAATGGATACTTGTCACAGAGGCACTAACAGCTTTTACTTTAACTATATTGTTGAAAAGAGTTCATATCTTAAAAAAATGTTTTGGTGTGTTTCTGGTTTTATTCTTACCAACAATAAACCCTGAGGTAACCAAACAAAGTCTACTGGGTTCAAATTTGTTTTTATTTGTTTGGCCGTAGTTGAAAAAGACTGCAGAGGAGCTGAATGACGCTTTGGCAACCAAGGAGGAGATCTCCCAGAGATGTCGTGAGCTTGACCAGCAGGTTAGTTTCATAAAGTCACTATCTCTCAGGATAAAAAATAATAGGAAGATAGTTGTTGGCAAAACACATGTATCATTATTATTATTATTATTATTATCATCATCATCAAACAGTAAATTAGCAGTAAAACAGAGCTTTGTTATGTATAACTTTGGATAAAAACATTTGTATATGTTTTGTGGTCATTTTTTTAAAGGCCAAGTTCACTGAGAAACATTTTTTATTTGTTGTTTTTGAAATCTCATCGGTCAGTCTTGAGTTTCATATGCAGGCTAACCATGAAAACTGTCTTCTATATTCATCTCCTGCAATAGCCACGCTTGGATTAAAAAAGCCTGATAGATGTACGTGACACTGGAAATGATCATTCATGACTCACGACAGGGAAGGCTGTTGTTGGTTTAGCATTCAGGAAACAGCAGAGAATGTCTTTGCTAGTAGAAGCTAACTGTTAGCATTAGCAACTCCACCATACAGTTATTTGTGGAGACAAAACATCTGCGTTGCAGAGCAAACTGTCAGTGGTAGAGTCGTGTTGCTGTTAGCCAATCAGAGGTGAGATGTCCAAATATCAGGAAATAAGACTCCAAATCCTGCCATGTTCTATTCACTTCTGCTGTGGCTCACTTCTAGATCCTGAAACAGGAGCGCCAGAGCTTTTTTCTCATTTAGATAGACTCCCAAGACATTCATGTAAACTAGCGACCACTGCCAATGTGCTGAACAAACAAGTAGAGGCCGGCCGATATGTTCAATTTTTTTAAATATTGTCTACTGGCCGAAATAATCTTTAAAAACAGATAAAAAATTTTTTTTTAATTAAATAGAAAAATCAGGCACCTGTGTGACCAACTGCTGCCACTACTAGGCTGAAGAAAGGACCCGAAGGACCCCAACACACCTGTTTAGTTTTTAATGTTTTAAGTTTATTTTATATTTGAAGTTTGATAAATATTAAGACATGTATAGACTTATTTAACTTATATTGTACACAGTGAGTGTTCAGTTGTCTTTCACAATCATTGTGCTGCTTAAACGTATATCGCCTTAATAATCAGCTTTAGATATCAGTCATCGGCAACAAAATTCTTTAAAAATCTGTATCGGCGTCTGCCTTAAAAAAAGCCATATTGGTCAGCCTCTAGAAAAAAGTGAACTTGGTCTTTAATCTTGCTTCATACGTTTACAAATAATAGTTTACTCTGAAAAGTATCCCATTTCTGCATAATTTGTCTTTAATTCTTTATTATCAGATTAGTTTTGCCCTCTGCTAGAGATGCTTGGATATTCTTATTAAAATATGAGCTAATTTTATTTTAAGTGAGATGCAGAGATCATACCTATTGTGTTTTTGTCATGGCAAAAAAAGTATAATTTTCTCTTTGCTGTCTGCAAATTACTTTGCAGAGAAATGGTCAAATCTTTCCTTACTGTTTAAATACTGTGTGGCTTGTTTTAAAGGCCCTTCGTGTCCAAGAGGAGCGTGATAGACTGAGGTTAGAGTTTAATGAGCTAGAAGAGAGGGTAAATCCAAACTTCATTTTCTCTCGTCTCTTTCTTCCATTCATGCTGTGTGGTGTGTCAAGTAGTCCTGGATCTGTTTCAGTCCGCTTGCACCAGAGTCTTCCTCAACACTGTGTGTGCATGTGTGTATATGTCTCTGCACAACTGGGTTTTCTTGTGCACACATATACACTCTGTCCCTTGGAGCACACCAGCCACACCTGTAGGCCTGGGTGTGCCAGATGTTGCTTCTCTACTAACCATCCACAGCAGTTTTTACATGTTTTGGTGTGTCACAGTTTCCTACACCAACAGTGGACAGCAAAGGAAAAAGGTTGGCATTCAGACCCAGAAAGGTGTTGCTTCTTGGAAAAAAATGTATATATACATACTGCAGAATATTATTATATAGTGCCAATCTTTTTACCTTTCCCTTTTGGGTAGAAAAATAATTTTTTGGTGCTTTTTTCCAAATGTTTTCAGCGTTCTGTCTCTGATCTGTTGCCTTACTGTATTTTGGCCTGTAAGGAGGTTCATTGTGTTTTTAGTAAACTAATTTAACCAGCTTTAAGCAGCTGATGCATGTTTTCTTTCCTACTTTTTGAGCCCATCTGTGTCCAGATGTGGGGGCTTGTTGTTTGAGAGAATCTGGTGAAAGTCTCCCTGGATGTTAGGTGGAAATAGAGATATGATAATCTTTCTCACAGGCTTTTAAGAATAAATTTACATTTATTCTTATTAAAACGAGAGGAATAAATCAGCAGGACATATTAAAGCCAGCTAACAGAGCGACGCATTTGGCTATTTTCCTTTCATAGTGCTGTTAAGCCTGGGGCACACTGGAGGCAGATGCGCCACGTCATGCCGCAGTTTTGAGAAGTCAAGTGGTCACACAGGAAGCACTGCTGAGCGCTTCTTGGAAAGTCAAGCGTTAGTCGCACCATCAAGCGGGACTTGATCAGGAAGTGGGAAGTGACTATTGTTTATACATGATCAAATTTGCTGTCGTGTTTTGTGAGACTCTTAATTCATAAAAAAAACAGCTAAGTACCATTGACATATACATATATGGACAATGGGTTTCCATAGGCTCCAATAATAAGTTTTAGTACTAAAATGGGAGGTGGCCACCACCGCCATTTTGACAGTGTCACAGGTTCCGTCAAGCCCAGACAATTCCATAAAAGGGAAGAGAGGTGGAGTTGAGGGTGGGGCTGTAAGGCTGGGATCAACTGACGACACCTGGTCAAACTAGCTACAAGCTAACCTGAAGCTAACCCAAAGCTAACACGGAGGTGGGAGCTAAGCTAACGGAGGTAGCAACCTAGCTACAACCGGAGTTTGTGCACAACACCAGAGCTTCTGAGTCAGAGATACGCCGGGCTGACTGCTGGGTAAAACCGGGTGGAACACAGAGGTCTCCGAGACCTCCACAAGCCGGCAGCCCCACAGCAGACAAGCGCCACTGCGATCTGAGATGCGCAGAGCTGCCGCTGGGGAGAACCGGGTGGAAATGTTTCCATCCCTGAGCTCCACAAGCTGGCAGCCCGCGCAGCAGACATAAGCTGCGATCAGACAAAGATGCGCAGGACTGTGGGGAGGGGAGAACCGGGTGGAAAACATCGGTCTCCCGAGAGCTCCACAAGACGATAGTCGGAACCCAGCTCCACCAACATGTTATATTTCAACCCATTTTCTGAAGTGCAGCATTATGTTAAATGCACTGGGTTTTACCCTATTACATTTAAATTTCATGGTTAAACAGTACATGTTAAAATCTAAGCTCAGCTCGGCAGTGACCTAAATACACGAATATAATTTTACTTACTGAAAAAAATGAAGTGGAGACTCCTTGGACGCTCTATTGGTGCAATTAATGCCACAGCAAGTCATTTTGTCCAACAATTGCACAAATAATATCCAAAAAAGAACGCACAAACGCTACAGCTAATGGTCTAAGTTGAGAGACTGAAAATGACCGAACAGTTTTCAGGCGAGGCCGAGGCTCAGGCTGAGGCCTTTCCCCGGAGCTAGCTCTGTGGTCACGTGGGTCGGATGCTCATTAATTATACAGAATTTTAGGCTTTTAATACACTTAAACAGAACAGTGAGAAAAAAAATTCACCCCCCTCAGAGTTGTCATGAGTGTAAACTAGATCATTTAAACAAAAAACATGTTTTGGTACCAGGCTGTAAACATGTTTATTTCTGCTGTGAAATTGGTATTTTTAACATGGGAGTCAATGAGGATTTGCTCACTTCTGACACCAGCCCCCAGCAGATGAGGGTGGAAATGCAATTTATGTCAGTTCTGCATTGGACTCAATTTCTGTCCCGCATTGTGGGGGCTTGGTAAGCACGCTATTTATTAAAATACTTAAAGATTAATCACTCCCCGTGTAGCCATTTTCAATAACTATACTGGCTACTATTTAAAGTGATGGCGCGGGTGCGACACAACGCATCTGTCTCCGGTGTGCCCTAGGCTTTATAGCAACATTAATGGCTGAGGCCGTCTGTCTGCTGAAAATGAAAGAAAGGGAAGGAGAGAAAGAAAATAATCTTTTATATAGCACCCCTCAAGATAAAAATCACGAGGCGCTAAAGTACTCGTGCTGCTAAGTTTCAGTCTCTCACTCAGCACTGTGGGTGACTGAGGCACTCTCCGGCAGCTGAATGGGGTTTACAGTAATAAGTGAATTTTGAACGCGCAACTTCTAATAAAAACAGTTGAATTATTGTAATGGTACAAACCTTTGCAGAGTTAATGTAATTCAAACAAGCACATGTCAGAGCGGTGGTCCAGAAATGTCTAGACCTCCCATCTTAGTGAAATTAATCAGGTAATACTCTGAATGCATATGCCCCTTTAGATAAAAGTAGTAGGATGTTTCAGAATTTCTGGAAAGAACTACCCTCTCCACGTTTTGAAAAAAATTACCCATTAGAGAGAATGCCCAGTTATCCTCGTGCACGCTCTGTTTACAAGTAGCTGCTGGCCTTGCAGCACTACTTCTAGCAGGAGTCTGAAATTTGTTTCTCCAGATAGCATGCTGAACTTCAGCTTACCTGTCGAGCAGAAAACCGGTGACTGAGGCGTCTTTGGGGAGCCCAACATTCGCTTTGCGCATGCACAGGAAGGAAAATACCTTTTTTTAATCATTTTTGAGATATTTTTCAATAATTATCCATATTGATCAATATGATTTTTTTTCTATATTGTCCAGCCCTACCCTGCATTGTGATGTAGGAAAATACATGAATTGTTTTTTGTTAAGCCCGCCCCCATCCTATCGAGCCCCTTGCAATTTGAATTGAGCGCCATTCAACATTAGCCAATAGAGTTGCGTGTATACAGATGTCAATCACAGAGCGAGCATGAGCATTTGAGGACAGACCTAGACTGTTGCAGAGTTGGCGACCTTTCCTATGGACAAGCATAACATGAGAATAATGAGTGTGGTCTAGCTCTGTTGGCCAGCTAGAGGTGCGCTTTCACCAATGAGAGGTGTTACTTCCAGATCTAATCACTAAACTAGGGAGAATGGCTACAGGTGCAACACATTTTCCCACCTTTAGATGGTGCCCTTCATATAAAAATGCCATATTTGTGCTTTAAATCTCCGTGCAGGGGTAGGGAACCCTGGTCCTGGAGAGCCGCTATCAATGTTTTAGTTCTTTCCCTGCTTCAACACAGTTGTATCACCTGTTCAGCAGCTCATCAGGCCTGTTAATCACATGCTGATGAAAATCAGGTGTGCAGAAGCAGGGAGACTTGTAAAACATGCTGGAAAGCAGCTCTCAAAGGCTGGAGCTTGGATAATGAGTGTTCCCATACAAATCCGTTATCGATCACCAAACAAAACCTTGATTGGCGCTCTAATCCATCTCTGCTGTTGGGATTTATTGACTCAATCATGACGAATAGAAGTGACGAGTCTTACATGAATAATTTGACCAGGTCTTGTTCATTAAACATTGTTAAGAGAGCAGTCATGATCAGGTTTTGCATTTCTTGAGCTGTAGAGCTGATCATTTCTATTATTTTTTTATAAAGATGGAGAGCAGCTTTGCTTTGCTTCATGTGGAGTTTGATTCCTCATCCTTCATTGCTGAGAGGAAAACAGAAACCCGTTCTTATTCCTTCCTGTTATTTTGGGATTGATTTGCCTCATTGCTGTTTGTTTTTGTGTGATTTTTACCTCCGTAGAACCTGGTGCTGCAGTGATTACAACCCCAATATGTTGGTTTCTGTTTGTAAATAAAACACATGCACATCTTGATCCCTTCTAACTTTATTCCCTGCATCTTCTCATCTTTCCAACATTCTCTTCATCTCTACAACATGTGTGCCACATTTTCTCCTTTCCCCCTCCCTGATACTACTTCACCATCCTTTTCTGCTCCCACTTGTCTATTCTCCATGTTCTTCTTGAACACCTTTTCCTTCCTTAGGTGGCAGCTTTGCAAGATGAGAAGAGCAGCTTGTTGGCAGAAAACCAGGTCCTTTTGGAGAGACTTAACCAGTCTGATTCCATTGAGGACATTAACAGTCCTGCTGGACGCAGACACCTGCAGCTGCAGACGCAGGTGGAGCAGCTGCAGGAAGAAACTTTCAGGTGAGAACCAGCATCAAAGGAAGATGTATTCACCCAACAAGCTGTTCATGAAGTGACAGATTTTACTGTTAAATCTTTAGATATAAAGGTCCGTATCGTTTGATTCCCTTTAGGTTGGAAGCAGCCAAAGACGATTATAGGATCCGTTGTGAGGAGCTGGAAAAGGAACTGCTGGATGTGAAATCCCAGAACGAAGACCTGACATCACTGGCTGATGAAGCACAATCCCTAAAGGATGAGATCGATGTCCTCAGGTTAGATATATAACACAAAACTGTCAGTCCACCGTTAAGACTTCTTCAACACTACAGGAAAAAAGTCCATAGGAACCCAAAACATTTAATAGTTCTACCTATACGGACAAAAACAAAATCACGACTGGAAAGAATACACGTGGATTAGAGCAGAAACTAAACCAGCGACAGAAACCTCTGGGTTATAAATAAAATTTATTATTATTATTATTATTATTATTATTATTATTACGAATATACCCATCATTATCTTCAAGGTTGAAGTGTGATCAGCTATGTGCCATCTAATGATAAAGACAAGATGATAGCTGATCAAACAGCTTTTAATTAACTTTGTAACCTGTTAATACAAATGCTACAGTCAAATGGAGGTAGGCACCTAAAACTAAAAGTGAAGTGTACACAAACATGACTTGTGCTCACTAAAGTATCCATTTAAGAGTGTCTTTTTGTTCCTACACAAGGTTCTTGTTCAGTCAGGAAAGTTAGCATTTGAACATGCTCTGGAGAAAGGCTTGCTCTCTTGGAGCAGATGTTTCCAGCTGCAGAGAAGATCTGCTCTGATAGGGTGGAAGTGGCAGGGATGCACAGAAAGGAATTGGCCAGCTTAGTGTGGCTAAATCTTCTCTGTGCACGTGGGGAAATGAACCTCATCTTCACTCACCATGTTCCTGTCTTCACTCAGGAAATGGCAGGGTACACCTAAGTATGCCTCTGATGCACGGCTGGTCCTCACATCAGGGTCAGGGGGCCATAGACAGCTCTGAGGTTCTGCTCTACCTTAAAGATAAAATATATAAAAGTTAGTTTATTTAATATATTAATAATTATGTTGTGTCAAATAAAGTAGGCGAAGACTTAACACAGAGAAAAAATATTGTGCTTTAACCAATGTTAGTTTCTTGATTGCTCAGTCAGCAAACTTTATTTTATTATAAAATGCATTAAATTATAAAATTATTTATTTTATTTTTGTCCACACACACACACACACACACACACACACACACACACACACACACACACACCTTCTCAAAGGTTGTTTCGTATTTCTTTTCCGTCGTGGTGGAATGGGATCTGCATGTTGGCAGTTGTCGTGGTAACCTGGGTTGAACTGCTTGATCATCTCTTTGAAACCTTGATCCGACAGGGGTCTTCGTGACTAAGATGTTCAAAAAGGCCTCGGTCAGGACGTTAGCTTGCTGCGGTGTGCACGTGTTTGGCTTTGTAACAAACTCGCCCATTGAAGAGGAGAACTGTCTTTAACACGAACATAGCGGGATAAAATAAATCATTAGCATTTGTAACGTTAGAGCAAGTATGTGACATACATACGTGTTCTAAAGGTAATAAAATCACCATCACTGTTGTTGTTGCTACACCTATGAAGTAACTCTCTGATGACACTATTGTGCGTGAACCTCGAGCAGAAAGCAGCAGAAGGTGTCGCAACAGGCGAGATAAAAAAAAAATGCTTATAGAATAAACGACGCGTCGACAATTAACTTCATGTCAACTGTTTTGTTAGTTGACGTCATCGTGACGCCCCGAGTAATTGTGGCAGCACTAATGGCAATGCGGAGCCGCCACTCACAAACGTGATATCGCTCTAATTTTATTTTGAGTGGATGGCAGCTCCACTTTTCAGATTTTGTTACAAATAGAAACTATATTTAAGGATATTTGTGATAACTGCAATAGTTATTATAAAATCACCTCATTTCAGCAGGTGGCTCCATCCTTCAGTGTTGATTTAATAAACATCATGCCCACAGCTTTTATATTTTACGTTTTATCTTGTGGAGTTCAAAACCTTTGTAGAGTGTGTTTGTGTGACTTATACATAATACTTATATATGTTACAGCGGTGACATCAGTTCATGTAAAATAATCGTGATAATCATGAAAACGTGATTATTTCTCACACCACCAATGTTTCTAATCGTTGCAACGCTATTCTTGATAATGCTTTGGTGTTAGTATCACTAGTTCAACTTGCTAAAACGTGATCCTGGACCTTAAGTAATATTTATAATCAACTCAATGGATGTGAAATTATTCAGTTCAACAAACTTGACACGCTCTTTTCTTCCTAGACACTCGTCTGACAAAGTATCAAAGCTAGAGGGCACGGTGGAGCACTACAAGAAAAAACTGGAGGACATGGGCCTCCTCAGGAGACAGGTACACAGTCACGTGGGTTTGTGCAGCTATGGTCACATGGTCACCACACCTTTGCAAAGAAAAGTTCAAATGAGGCTAAAATCTTAGTCTCTGCTGTAGATCAAGCTTTTGGAGGAGAAGAGCGCAGTCTTAATGCAGACCAACGTCGGCTTGGAGGAAGAGCTTCGAAAGGCTAATGCTACCAAGGGCCAGCTGGAGACTTACAAGAGACAGGTATCTGACCAGCACCTGTCATGTTAGCTTGTAAAATGTTGCAACGTAACCCAACTCTCCTGGGTTTGTAGCTACAGTGATCTGTTGCAAACTGCCCCCTCTCTTCACAGGTCGTTGAACTTCAGAACAGACTGTCAGAGGAGTCCAAAAAGGCCGACAAGATGGAATTTGAATATAAACGTCTCAAAGAGAAAGTGGACTCTCTACAAAAAGAGAAAGATGTATGTCATGTTTTTGTATAAAGATCCTAGTTGGAATAGAGAAGAGGCTCAGCTATCCTCCGCCATGTTGTAGAAATGGAAACGTATGTTTTGAAAACGTTGAAGGACCTGGCTGTGTACTGAGTTGAAATCCTTGGAAAATGATAACACAGATTACAACGCTGACGTGTGATCTTTATTCAGATTTGTTGTGTTTTGTCTTTTTCATAGCGTATGAGATCGGAGAGGGACTCGCTGAAAGAGACCATCGACGAGCTGCATTGCGTCCAGGCTCAAGGACAGCTTACGTCCAGTAAGGAAGTGTTCTTGTCACCAAATGAGGCCTTGAGCTTTGTGTTTTCTTGCATCAGAAGCTTTTTTTATTTATTTCTGAAAAGCTGATGTCTGTTGGTGCAGGTTTGTTTCCACTGGGCAGCAACAACGGCTCTGATTCGCTGGCTGCTGAGATCACCACTCCTGAGATGCGGTATTTAAACAAGACGCCTTTTCAGTGTTACGGTTAATTATTTACCTGTTAGCGTTCATAATGTTATGGCTGGACTATTAGAATGTTGGGTCTTTGGCAGCGTGTTCCCCATCTGCAGAGTGAGGTGCTGTGCAGTGAAATCCTTTTCTAATCTGCGAAAAGCTGCCTTTGGAAGAACGGGCGTGATTGATCAAAGTCCAGAGAACTGGTTTCCCATTAGGAAGAAACTGTTGACAAAGATACTTTTTAATAAAGGGTCGGAGTTATTAGGCTTCATCCTGGAACGATCGGAAGACTGAGGTAGAGGTGAGATTGTTGGGGAGTTTCCAGAATGTTTGGAAGGTTCTAGATTTCCTGGTGTGAGCTGCAGCTGTCTGAACCCCTTGTGGGAAGTCAACGTGTGAAAACTGTGATTCAAAGAGGGTGACTAGGTATTTTATTTTTATAGAGGCTATACTACAATCAAATAAATATTTGGACACTAATAAAACTGTGAGAAGTAAAATGGCGCGACTGTTGAAGCTTGACTGCTGTTGCATCATGAGCCACTTTAAAACGTTTAGACTTTCTGGCAATTTTGATGAGAGGTTACCAGCAGTCAGCCTAGTGAGAGTCTGGCTTTAGATTGGGTTGCTCATGATCTGATGAATCTGAGTATGGGTGGTTTTCTGTTTGCCTGTAGAGAACATCTGATTCGTCTTCAGCATGAGAACAAGATGCTGAAGCTGGCTCAGGAAGGATCGGACAACGAGAAGATCGCTCTGCTACAGAGTCTACTGGAAGATGCCAACAGAAGAAAGAGTGAGCTAGAGACAGAGAACAGGTTGGTCACAACTTTAGTATAAACTCACATTCCTGCTGGAATTTGAAACTAAAAAGGAGCATAGAGAGCATCAATGCTTAGTAATTTTTGTTTGTTTTTTGGACTGATGAGGACAGCTTCTCTATTGTTGGAATGTAGATCAGTTTCCATTCATTTGTGCAGAAATAAAATTTTTTTATTCTTTTTTATATCAGTCAGCGACCTATTAACCAAAAGCCTCCAATGTTTTATATTACGACAGCTTTTATTTTGATCATTGCACCGTTAACAACTGTATTGTCAAACTTTTCTGCTTGTTTTATTTAGGTTAATAAATCAGCGTTTGATGGAGGAACAGAGTCAGGTAGAAGAGCTCCAAAAGACTGTCCAAGAGCAAGGTTCCAGAGCAGACGATGTAAGTAATTATTACATTTTTAACTTTTTTTTGCGTGCGTCTATAAGGCCGGTCATAATCATAAAGACAGATGCCAACCCTGCAGCCTGTTCAGTTGGATAAAACATCCATTTCTTTTGCACAATGACTTAATGGAAAAATAGAAAGGAGAATATTTTAATTTCCTTCTGCCAAAGTTGCTGATCATCATCTTTTGTCATATTTGTGACAGTTGAAGCATTTGATCAGAAACACAAATAAATCCCATCCTCCTTCAGGTGTACACATTTTCATTATTGACTGTCCAAATGTTTACTGCAAGGTGTAAAAGTGGAAGTACATGTTCAATATTCAGTGATTTTAAAGTGATAATTTGCAACTTTTTCATATTTTTATATCATTTCCTTGCGCCAGCATGTGCTAAAACGACCCTTTAGGGTTAATTAAATGCCACCCAACCCCTATTGCTCCATGATCCAGAATATTCCACTTGCAACTTCAGACTGGTGGGCCGCTCTGTTGGGACTGACATACCTTCCTGCATGTTTTAGATTATGAACACAGTTGATTTGTTTAATTTAGTGATTAATCACTCCTCTAGACACTAATGAAAACTGGGGAGACATGTTGTCTGTTAGATTAACACCAAAATTCCAATATCTCCGCTCCGCCCCCGCTTTCCGCTGCCGCTCGCTTCCGAACTCAAATTATATTATACCCGCTCTACAACGGCTCCGCTCCGGTGCGGAGACCTGAGGTGTGCAAACAGGCATGCGCGGGATCTTGCGATACAGTCCGAGCTATAAACGCGGAAGTTGGATCCAAACACCCAGTGTGTGGGAGAAGCATCGACATGAACTGTTTAATCTGCCCATCATTTGTGTTGAGAGATCAGCAGTGTTTGGATCAACAAAGGGTGACTACTTTGATAGTGGAAACTGTATTTATGGCTTATTTTTGTGCATTTAAAGTTCAACTGCAGTTGATAGTTGTTAAAAGTTGTTAAACCTGTGCATATGAAACAAAAAGCACCTTTTGTTTATCGATTTATTGTGAAATAACAGAAGCTGTGCTTGCTCCCTTTCCTGTTGGGCGGTTGTGATTTCTGTCCATTGACTGCGGAGGCGCTCCGGCGTCCGGCAAAAATATAATCGATCCTATTTTTGCCGGATGGTGGAACGGCGGGCGGCGCAGTGCGCCGCATGGCCGCAGTAGTGGAGCAGCTCTGATTGACTACAACGGGACCGTTTTTGCTGCGGAGTTCGTGCCGGAGCGGAGCGGAGATAGTGGAATTTGGGGGTAAGGTGTTAAAAAGACGAATGCACAGCGAGGAGAAAAGTTGTGCTTTTGGTTCTACCAACGGACACTAGGGGGTGGTAAAAGCAAGCAAACACTGTCTAAATCTCCTCTAAATTCAAATGTTTAAACATCCAGTGTCCACACCACTCTCTGGTTGTCTATCGTAATGCACAAGGCTGCGTGGAATCGTTTATTTTTTGTTTCAGGTATTTATTCTTTCTGTCAGTCACATTTGTTATCTTTGCACTTTTTCAGTCGTCTGTTGTTCTGAAGAAGAAATATGATGAACACATGTAAGTGATCCAGTTAAATTAGTTCCATTAAATCATGGATGTGAATTATTCTCAACTATATTTAACTTAAAATATCAGGCATATTTGTTTTATTTTAGCTATTTTTTGTCTTTAGGGAAAAACTCAAAGAAGTGAACAACGAGTTACTGAAGAAAAATGCCATTATAGATGAAATGGAGCCAAAGTACAACGCCAGCTGTGAGTTCTCACTATACTCCTCTAGTCTGGATCTGGGGAGGAGGAAAGTGATATCTGCTGTGTATCAACAAGGACACTCACAGAAAACACACATTTTATAAACCTTGGAACATGTTCAGGAAGAATCTAAAACATTGAGATCCAAATTGGAGGTTGTTTTTATTTAAATGACCAAATGCAGCACCGGCTGTAGCAGAGGACATGTTTTTAACAAATGCACAAACACACAACTTGCTTTAAGGTGAAAGTAGAAACGGCTAAACGTGGATGTTGTTTCCCCATTAGCCCAACTAGTGGACGAGCTGGAAGAGGCCTTGAAAAAGAAGGATGAAGAGATGAAGCAGATGGAAGACCGATATAAGAAATATCTAGAGAAAGCAAAGAGTGTAAGTGATTTGTTATATCTGAAGAGCTACTGTAACCACTGATGTTTACTGTGTGTAAACAAAAACAACTAAATGAGTAAGATGTAAAATATATTTTGACAGGTTATCCGAACTCTAGACCCGAAACAGAACCAGGGCTCGGGTCCAGAAGTCCAGGCCCTGAAAAACCAGCTGCAGGAGAAGGAAAGGATGTTGCATTCGTTGGAGGTAAAGAGTCCTTTAGTTGTGGATCAGTGAAATTAATTCAGTTTATTTTTGTTCTTAAGAGTGTCATTTATAAAACGGTCAGTAAAAACTCTTGCTTTGTATTTCTACCGTTTGTGTTTGCTTCCACCAGAAAGAGATGGACAAGACGAAGAGCCAGAGAGACCACGAGGAGAAGCTAATTGTCTCAGCCTGGTACAACATGGTGAGAACAACTTTGGTTCACATCAAAGGAGAACAGATTTAAATCAAATGAGAAACAGTCGGTGACATCTAAAGACACAAAATGATACCTTTTATTCTATTTCTCAAGTATAAAATCTTTAAATGTTAGGGACTGAAGGACAGTCCTTTTTAAATCGAGTTCCTCATTTAGAGTATAAATGATATTTGTTTTGTACCGACTTGATTAAACACGATGATCATAACCTCTGTAACCACTAGAGGGCAGCATAGACTCATAGGTTTCCTCTCGGGGAACTGCTTTGACCCACAGAAGCTGTGGCTCATTAAAGTGTCAAAGTAAAAGAACAGACTGGATGATCTGCTTGGACTTATGAGGCTTTTTCATTGTTCATTTGTTAGATGAAACTTGACAACAATTTAATCAAAAGCGGGTTTATTTTGGGTGAAATGTTTGCGTGTTTCTTAAGTTTGAGTTCAGTAGACTACGATACCAGAATCCGCTACAGCTTCTACCTTTAGACCAGCTGTGAGGTCACTAATGTTCTCCTCTCCAGGGCATGTCTATGCAGAGGAAAGCAGCTGAAGAACGACTCGCCAACACAGGCTCTGGTCAGTCCTTCCTGGCTCGACAGAGACAAGCCACCAGCTCACGCCGGTCCTACCCAGGCCACGTCCAGCCAGCTACCGCAAGGTAGATGGTCCCAGATCACAGCAATCACACCAGACTCACCAAACTCAAAGCCCCTGAGCATTGAGCGAGTGTGCCTGTTCAAGGCACTCTGTTTCCATTCATTTATGACATTTTCAGACTTCCTGCCTTTTGATTTTTTTCTGTTTTCCTTCTCAATCAGATCCACGAGGTAAAGATTGCGGTGCAAGGCTGCATCATTCTTGCACCACTTCTTTCCTGACAAAACTTATCTTACCTTGACTCCCGTGATGCAGGACTTCAACTTTATTTGGTAGACCACCCCACCCCTCCCAACCACATGTCCAACTTGTCCTGTGAGACAAATGGTTCCCTCCTAAGGCTCAGAAGAACCATGCCATTTGGACAACCTCTAGTCTTTTTTTGATGAAGGGAATTCATGCAGTGTTGATGCACTTTTCTACCTGTGACACCGTCTGATGTTCACTTTTCCTTTTGACAGGAAACTGACTGTCCTTCGTGATGTCTGAACTTTAATTTTCTTAAAAAGTGCAAACAGCAAAATGTGTGAACTTTGTTTCATCTGACCTTAAATCAGTCTTAAATACGTACAGCTGCGGGGACACAGGAGGACATGTTATCCCACCCGTGTTCGGGTTCTCTCTTAATGTCTGAGTGAGGTGATGGGTTGTAGTCTGACTACATGACCTGGAAGATGTCTGCCAACTGTTGGTCGAAGCAATAATTTTTTATGGTCATTTATTATGTTTTCTTTGGGAGAAGAAGCTTCAACAGGTCTTGAGGTTTGTTTCTGTAGGTAGATTTATTTATAAATGCTGCTGTTAGTCAGGAGGTCCCGTCTAGCAAAACCACTTCATGGTTTAATCTCCACCAGCGGTTAGTCCGGCAGCAACTTGTGTGCCATACTGATTGATTTTTATTTTTACCTTCTAGCTGAGGTTTGCAGGCTTTCCCTCTAATATGAACTAAAATTGATCACCGTGAGATTAAAACAGATCAGTTGAGAACCCTTTGTTTTTGTTAAGCTGCTTGAGTGAACTCTTCATAGGATTTGCATCCGTCTGTTGCCTCTGTCTCATCCTCTCTCTAACACATTTATTCAATTTTTGTTATTTTAGGACATATCATCCAATTCACTTTGAGTTTGTTTGATCTGTGCTTTGTTGCCGACTAGCCCCGGCATCTCATCATGACTTCTCTCTCTTCTCATTTAACAGCGATATCACTGCATGACTGATGCACCAGTGACCTTGGCTGGTGTGGTCTGCAATGATCCCCCCTTCCTCCCGGCTGGGCTAAACTGAGGCACAATGCATGAAACCTGCCTGCATACTGTTTGCATGACTCTTGCATTGATTCCAGTCTGCAGATAACCACCAGCAGCAGCAGCATGAGCACTAACAACCCTTCTGCAGTGTCTGTGCACAGGGATGGGGTCACAAAAACAAACCCCTTTTCCAACTAATTATTTTCCATCAGTTTGGGTACCTGTCCTGTTCTCGTGTTGCTGTCTCCATCTCACCTCCAAATTCTCCTACCTCCTCTCACTCCCAGTGGACATGCCTGCTTGTGCTTCCACGTCTGTTACGATTCAGCATGTTACAAACATCGCAGAAGAGTATGATACAGCAGTATTTCCTGTCAGAGGAGCTATTTTTTGTTTGTTAGTATTTATGAGGATCTGTTACAAGAGACTTCAATGACTTATTGCCTCATGTCCATCTTTGTTTACATGATTTAGGGAATTTTTAAGAGCCTCCAGATCAATTTGTAAAGCAAAAAGACGTATTTTCTTTATTTTTTAAACCACTGCATTAATTGTGTATCCAACTTCTTTCACTTGCTACTCAGCTGCATCTTAAAATAGCTTTTTGAAAAAATAAAAATAAAAAACCTAAGTATTACAGCAAGTTTTCAACTAAAGACGAACCTCATTGTTTTCATCATGTGGCGCAAGAGATGGCTAAATAAGTGTATTATATGAATTACGTTGTTACAGATGTGCTTTTATATGAGATTAAAACCCTCATTGAGCCCACTTTTCCTTTCTTAATCCCAGGTTCTAATTGGTTCCTAATGCACGTTTGATACTCACTTATGTTTAACATGATCTCCCACGTCTGTTACATTTAAAAAGCTGTTATAAAAGACAATTTTCTTTTGTCATTTGAATGATAATTTGGCTTTATTTAATGCATAAGTCAGGATGAAATGGGGTGTTTGCTCGTAGAAGCGAATGTTTAGTCTTTTCAGGTAAAAATCAAATCACAGAAAGGGAAAAGCATCACAAATGCTCCTGTTTTGTCATTCAGCTCAAAACATTGTGTGTGTGTGTGTGTGTGTGTGTGTGCGTGCGAGTGTGTTGCAGTGTTATTAAGGCTCTCCTCGCTGCAAAAAAATTCCTGTTCAAATGCACAGTGTGACATAGATCTGTGAAGATATTCTAATCCTAGCATTTCACCATCTATTTTCTATCAGAAGCTAATGCAGGAGATGGGGTAGGAGACTATTTTCATGTTCTGCCTGCATGAAAAACATAGTGACTGATTATAATCAGAAATAATAATTTTAAAAAAAATTCAGTCAACCACACCTTTAAGCTCTTGTTCCCAGCTTTGATTTTACACATTTCTCATTTAGTTTAATGTGCAAATGGAAAGATCCAGGGCTGAAAGCTAAACCATGAGCTGGGGATACATAAACACAATTAGTCTGAATGGAGATTATTAAATCCCCCAGTTTAGTGCCTTTTGTTTTTGAGCTTTTAAAATATTTTATTTTAGGAATAAATGAAGGTTTATTGTTTAATTTAAGAATAAGTTAACTTTACACGGTAAACCGACGTTAAAGTGGGCTCAGTGAGGGTTTTTTACATTTTTGTTCCCACTTACTCATTTGTTCTTTTGTGTAACCTCTAATCCATACCAAGTGTTTTCTCTGAATGGCTTATTTATTATTTTACCGCTTGTACAGCAGTGTTATTACACCAACATTTATACTGTTACAATGGTTGTGATGGTGATCGAAATACTGTTAAAGAACTTATGCAACAAAAGGAGATGGGGATTTGAAGTTGGTTTAAAATGGACTAGTGCAAGGTTACAGTATTTTTCTACACAAAGAGAAAAACTGCAAAGAAGTTTAAAAGTTTGATCATAATTGTTTCTCTTTAATGAATAAAAGCACATTTTAATTTACTCAACAGCTTTTGGTGATTTCATAATTGTATTTTCTTAAAGAAACTGCGACGTAAAACCAGGAATGAAAGCTCCTAAACGGCTGAGGGGCATTAAAATAAATCTGTTTCCACAATTTTCTCTTCCAGGTGTCTGATGGCTTGTGTGTAAACCATGAGTCAGCTGCTTGTTTCATCACACACAACTAAATATTTCAGCCGTCAAAACAAACTTGCTTCGGTATCAGACCTGTGTATAATGGATCCTATCCACACTGTGACCAACATGTTGGAATGTGGGGAAGCCTTTATTTTTAATACTCTGTCTTGTTTCCTTTCATCCTGGTCACATCAGTGTTCTGTTGCTTTTATTCTGAAGTCAGCATTATCTGGACTATTCAGACCCCATAAATAGAAATGAAATGGCAATGAAGAAGAACAAGCAACACCATGATGTACTGTTTAAACTGTAACTAAAACATCCTCGATGCTTGAAACAAAAACCTGAATAAAACCCACCACAGTCCGTTCAAACCCTTGTCATAATGTATATTTGTACATGCATAAATCAACATAAAGCTCCTTGCTTTATTTTGGCAGCGCAGGATGTAATAAAATGAACAAATAAGGAACAAGCTGAATTGTTTTATTTACTCATTTTGAAATGTTTCCATACTTATTTAGGTAGCAAATAACCTCCCATTTGCCATTTTATATTCCCTGTATAAAAAAAACAAACACTTTGTACATACGTGTGGTTTTGTGTTATAGAAGTGTCCGGATATTCTAGAGTTCTAAATAATGTTGGTGGTTTTCATCTCACGCGATTGAGGAGCTGTGGATTGAAATGTGCTTCCGACACCGTGGAACCACATTGTAAATAAAGCTAGTTTCAAACATGCTGCTTGTGTTGTTCCTTAAGTTTCTTTATATATTTTTTGCACTTTAAACTTAAAAACTTGACCATATTTCTTACATCACATCATAAATGGACCAGCCTTCAAGGGAGGAAAAGGCCAAATGAGTGTTTGGGATTATTTTTCAGGATGTATCCTGTCATTCCTGTATGGATTCCAGGAGCAGAATTAGATTTGAACTGTCATTTGCATTTGCCAGTGAGACGTGTTTTCCCTAATTATTCCAGCCCACTCCAGCATTCCTTTCCTAATCTTCCAAGTATTCCTTCGTCCAGTGTTTTATTTTACCCAATGGAAAGTTGTGAGTTCAGACGTTCAGTATCTCCTTCGTCTTCTGTTCTGACAAACTCAGCCCAGCCTGGGAAAATGAAGTCTGTATGCCCCTCGAGGCTGCGGACACTGGAACTTCCCTGTATCGGTGTCCTATTCTTCATTCCTGAAAGCTCCTTTTCTCTCTCTAACTTCAGCCTCTGGCTGCTTCCTGACACAAGTCACAGCAGAGGTCCAGAGTCAATATAAACACATTTCTCTGGTTACTCACTCACTTCTGTCACAGACCGTGATAATATCACTTCCACTATCTGGATCCCGTCATTCGAACCTGGAAACTGGTCAGCTTTGTGTTCAGAGATGGGAGAGTCGAGCTTATAAACAGTAGCTGTCTGTTGTTGCTTTAAGCTGAAACTTTCAATGAGCGCCCCTCCTTCCTACCTTCGATGAGTTGTTGATGTTGTTGGGTCCTATTGTGTTAAAATGGTTGTTTTGATTAGATGCAGGACGGTGTGACCTAGATTCCGTAAACCGATACCTCAACCGTCCATATTCCAGTCAGAACTGACAAAGCTTCTCGGATGAGAAGCAAATTGTCTTCAAGAAACCGAACAAGTCCAATTGCCTTCATTTGGACTACAAGTTCTGAGTTTTAAAGTGACTTTTGTCACTTCATCGGGGGTAACGTCCCAAATACCTCCGACTGGTAGACAACCTGATAAATTATAGAATAAGCCAACTGTTAATCACAGCCATTAGCCCAACAGGCAATTTTCTTTTTCTAGGAACTTCATCAGGGGTCTGTTGGGTAATTAGTGAAATCTCAGAATGCTGTCTGGTCAGTTTTCTATTAGACAATCTGCTCATTTAATGAGGTCAGAACTGTTTGTTTACTCGCAAACAGATGAGGCGCAAACACCTAAGGATTTTCACACATTTCCATATAGCGTGGGCATGGTGAACAGCCTATTTTTTATATGTCAATGTGAACAGCCAATAGGACAAGATCATCTCACTAAATGGGAGGGGCCTATCACGTGGCATCTAAGGTAATGTATGCGGATACTCATGTTACTTTTACAGATCAAAGGATCCAGACCTGTGTGTGTTCTCTGTTCAACTTTTTCCTTTTTGCTATAAAATGTTGATTCTCCAAACTTTATCGGAGTATAACTGTAATAAATGCCAAGTAGCAGTACCAAGGTTGCCCATACCATCCTGTATAATACCACCTTTATTTATAACGCACTTTAAAACGCAACAAGGCCACACAAAGTGCAGGACACAAAATTTACATCACAGAACAAGTAAACCACAGATCAAAACAAGATCAACCATAGAAGTGTCTCATACTGACTAAATTGATTTACATTAAAAGTTTGGAAATAAAATTGAGAATTTAGGCAAGATTTCAGAAAGGTTGAGTGAGGGAGCCTGCCTGATCTGCAGATGCAGAACATTCCACAGAAAAGGGCCTTTGACTGCAAAAGCCCTCTCTCTGCTATCACACACCGCACTTTTGGCACCAGCAGCAATTGTCTGGGGACGACCAGGATGAGAGTACAGGGCTGACGGAAGTCTGATTGGTAAGAGGGGGCTAAGCAGTTAACAGATTTAAAAACAAATAAAAGGTTTAAATTGTATCCTTAAAGAGACCGGCATGGTTAAAGTGTGAACTGGACAACCTTCACCATGACGTTAAAGAACCAAGGTCTGCCCCAGACTGCAGCTAATGATGGACCGGACACTACCAATTTCAGAAGGATGCCGGATCAGGATCCAGCAACAGCTGCTTCTGGAGCAAATTTCAGGGATGGAGAATTGTGGCCTCCTACAAGTAATCTCCATGCTGTGTTTTTCTTCTGTTCAGCAACTAAACCAGATGATTTCAATCAGCACAGTGAAGGATCCTTGTTCAGTTGCTGAGCAGAACAACAGCACAGCATGGAGCTGACTTGTTGATACCACAATTCCCATCCCTGGTTAATTTCCTGTTTAAATGTAAGTCAACTTATTGTAGCTATCGGGCTGATATCTGAGATGTTGTTTTTAGATCCAAAGCAGTTAGCTATGGTTGGTTAGTTGCTTAGTAGTTTCAGCTTTGGTGGCTAGCAGGTAGTAACTCGCTTCCATATTTAATATAACAAATACACAATTTATAAAAGGCTCGTTATGCATTCATATTGAAACTTATGTGATGTGATCGCTGCAGGAGCCGTGGTCGCGCAATCTAAGTCTGTTCCATTTAACCGTTTTGTATGACCAAGGAAGGACAGCGTTCTCTTAAGCAAGGCACCTTGATTTTGAGGGACACCCTTTGGCTTCCCTCCTGTTTTAGTTGGTCAGTGTGCCCCAGGACAGCTGTGGCTGCTATGTAGCTAATCACCATCAGTGTGTGAATGGCTGACTTAGTGTAAAGCGCTTTGGAGTCCTCTGACACAGAAAGCACTATACAAGTTCAGGTCATCATCATCTAATTTATGGAACTCCTCTACTTCAATTCCACATATTTGTGTTTGACTGAGGCCCTGTCCACACGTAGCCGGGGATCTGTTCGTAAGAACTCCGGCCAAAGTGAAGATCTGCGTTTTCTCCGTTTGGGTGTCTGCGTGTGGTCAGACAAAACCGGAGTTTTAAGGTCCGCAACGTCACTTTTCGCAACAAAAAATGCTGACATCACGTGTGCGACCTGTGTTTACACTAGCCGACAGCATGGATGCCCTCAGAGCTGCGCTCGCTTTATCAATTGTCCAAGCGCTTCTTACTTGTTTGTTTTTGCAAGCGGAATTACTGCTCCTTGCGGAAGACCACAGACGAAGGACGAGGTTAAGAACGGGGGAAGTACTGCCGCCTACAGGTCTGGCATGTCCTTAACAACGTATTTATCCGGGTACGTGTGGACAGAGTTTTTTTTTTAAACGAGGTGGAGTGGATGCAAGTTTTTGGAGGGGCGGATATTCGTTTAAAAAAAAACGGCTACGTGTGGACTAGGCCTTATTCTAATGGGCCATTCCCATCTGTACCGGGTCGGCCCGGGCCAGGTAGCCCCAGTCGGCCCCAGCCTGGCCCGGTTGATTCCACACATCCTTGTCTTAAGCCCATGTGGGCTGATTCTACCCACCAATCAGAGGCTTGCTCTAATGGAAGGTGTGAATTTGCAGTCAGCAGTGGGTGTGTTGGCCCTGGTTGGCCTGAAGCAGACCCCCTCGAGAAGAGGGCTGAGAATGAGCCTTGGTTGGCCCGGAACAATACCAGGCCACCCAGATATGTAAACAACCTATGCTACCCGGGCCGACCCGGTACAGATGGGAATGGCCCATAACTGAGCTTATGAACCAGTCATAAGTCCTGAGTCTGACCTTACACCTCTTGTATCTTTAAGCTGGGTGCTCAATTCTTCCACCATCCACCTCAAATCTAAAAACAAATTACCTCAAATGATTTACTGTTTGACTTTATCTGCAAAGGATGTTAAGCCAGGACTTATTGTTTTACTCAGGCAGACGATGGGCAGAAATGATAAATAATCCTGCACTCAGGCATAAAGACATAATTTTAAAGCTGTGGATGTCCCGTCGACCAAAAGAGACTTCTGTGATGTCAACCACACTAAAAGGAACACTTGCAAACTGATAATAATTAAAACTGTTTCAGGAGTGTCCAATCCATATTCTGGTGCACTCCCAGTCATCAAGAATAAAATATCCAACCCTAAACACGTCTGCACACATTACTGATGCTCTTAATTTTGTTAGAACATGATCTTCTTCAAAATGCAAAGAACCCAAAATACACGATTGATTCCAGATGTGTGTCCATGTTTTCACTTAATCTTTCTTCGTATAAAGTTTCTAAACTGTCTATTTAGATGAAAACTGGAGCAAACAGAGTTGTCATTTCCCCAATCAAAGAGCCTGTCATTAATATCTGTTACAACCTGAGGTTTGGCTGACAAAATGGGCTTTATGACATGTTCAGTTTCCACTTCAATTACACTGGTGGGGTGGGTGCGCGGGTGTCTGAGAGCTGATAACACAAAGCTTTCATTGATTCACACACTCCAACGCTCATGCTACACAAATTAGCCGCTGTTTGAGCCCTATGGGTTGAAGCACCTGATCTCAGATTCTGACACACGAGCACACTGAGCACTCTGAATGTCAGTCAGCAAGCAGCTTCTCTAATTTTACATTGTGATTTTTGGCTTGACTTCAGTGCAGAACAGGTGAGAAGTGTGGTGAGAAGTGCGGTGTGAGAGCCAACCACCTCTTTGCTCAGACTGTTGACACAATCAGAGCAGAGCTGAGTGGCTCTTTAGATCCCCGAGCAAAAGGAAGAGAGCTGATTACAGGGTGAGCACTCAACTCCTGTGCCACCGTCACCCAAACAAGGTTTCCAGACGTCAGGATACCAGGGTCGCTGCTGATAAGCAACATTTTTCATGTGGGTCCATCTGTTGTAGGCTTCACCTAACTCACTCTGGTTTTAGATCTTTTATGGTCGCTCCTCTTCTGAAAAGAATTATGACATCTTCTGGGCTCAGAACTTTGGCAACATCCAACAGTGCCCTCTATTGGTTGGTAGATGTAAACATCAACCCAGTGTCATGCCCTTCAAAATAAACACTTGATTGTTTTTTTAATTGAAATATAGCTTTTAAAGAAAATACTGTACCTTCGTTCTGCACACATCTAAGCATCCGTGGAGGTATTAT